TTCTGCCATCTTTGCCCTTGGTGCATCTGAGCAGCCATGCTTTTTAAACATATGTAGCATGAAACTCTGGGAGGTCCATTAAACACATACTATGAAAATAAAGGATGCTGGCCTTCTTTTAAACAATGATACCTAATCAACATTTGGGAAAATGTTTTTTGGCATGTGGTGACTGAACCTTTTTTTTTTCTTTTTACTTTTACATTTAAGACTGTGAGATGCCACAAACCTAAAATCAAGATGAACTCTCATTTCATAATACACGAGAAAAAAAAAAGTGCACAAGTCAACAAATCAGAGTCATGTTTGATGAGATTTTGTGGCATGAAATCCAATAACAGAATAAATGATAGAAATCACTGAAATCGAACCTTTTCTAATTACATCCAAATTTCAAACAAGGCTTGACAACCATTCCTCATCTCCCAACAATAACTTGAGGTCAAAATACCAGTCATCAGTCACAAATATGAAATATCTCTATTGCACTGTGATGAGGCTGCAAAAGCAACCCTCACTTACATCTTTTCTTTTTTTAAACCACTCACTCTTTTCCAGTCTGCAAACAAAAGTCATGACAGTTAAAGTGTCACTTTTGTAAGTTAACATATCTTACATTTATCATATCAAACTCTTTATTTTTAAATGAAAGTGGTCAGTGTACTATTTTAAATAAGTCGATAATTATGAAATGTGTGTGCGCCTGTGCAGTATGCGACACCTCAGTGCCAGTGGGTTGTGGGATATTTCTTAATATTTCCTACAGAGGAACTTTCCCCTCCTTCCCATCCTCTCAACAGCCATTCCAGTGCAGGTCAAAGAACATACTGGGGCAGTAAGTATCTCTTATGTTTCTGAGTTATAATGACTAAGGATCTATTATGCAGTTCTCAAAACAGAAAGCAAAGAAATGGAATCTTTAAACTGAGATGAAAAAGTGCTCAAATGAACAGAAATACAGACATGAATAAATGAAAGCATTAAGTTGAACAGAACTAGGTGCAGCGGCACCAGAGCAGAGAAGGGCACTTCTTGAGAGTCAGCTTCTCTGTCTGGTGACTGTGCCTTTTTTTTTTTTTTCTTCTTTCTTACTTTTAATGTTAGTAGGTTCAGTTTGAAGATAGCCTCCACAAGGCCCCCTAATCCCCTCCACCATTTACTAGGTCTGCACTGAGCAGTGGAAGATGGCAGCTTAATTGTAGGAGTCTTAAGAGTTCAAACTGGTCTTTCTGTGTGCACTCACTGTCGCTCCCCTTTCGGTCCTGCAGCTTTGCCTGCAGTCAGATAAAGACTTCCGAGTGGAAGCAAATCAGAATGGCATCAAAACGCCACAGGCCAATTTCTTCCAGTTTCTCCATCCCAGCTCAGTCATTTGTTGCATTCTTGAAAACCTATCAGTGTCAAATCCTGGAGCCCACCCCCAGGATTTCTTTAAAAAAAAAAAAAAAAAAAGAAAAAAAAAGAAACACCGCCACGAAGAATTGTTTACACTTTGACCCCTCCACTCTAGGCACACAGTCTTTAAGAAGTGCTGAGACACAATTACGTTTAGCACAGAAGAGAATACAACTGTCTCCCAGCTGTCCCTTCCACAGCCAAGGCAAGGACAGGGCATGGTGTGACAGGGTAGGCAGAAGGAAAGATGCTGTGTTGGGTGGTAGCGGGAGGCAAGCCCTGGGCTGGGCTTTGGTTGGCTGGCTAGTTTGGCTCAGCTAGCTGCGGCACGAGCCATCAGGTCCTCTAGAGCCTTGTCGTGATCATTGTTGTGGACCAGCAGCACCTCTTTGGATGGCATCCCGCTCAAATCCCATTTCACCAAATCTCGACATTAGTTCAAGGAACTGCAAGGCCTAGGAAGGATAAAAAAAAAAATTGAACTACTATATATCATAAAATCTATTAATGTAATCTACAGACTTTGCTAAATTACTGAACAGACAGGGAAATGTAGAAGTATAACTCATATTTCAAAGACTAAACATTGTTTTCTCTCTCCAGCGATCTGACTTAACATATAAACACAATGCATGTTTTTGAAATATACTGTACAAACCTTTTCCTCTGAGCATTGTACATCTCTAAACATTCTTCCACTGCACTTGCATCGAAGCCCGGTCACACAGAACGTCCAGACAAAATAAGATAATCCAGTACCTTGAACAAACAATAAGTCCCAAGTTTATTATTACCTCTACTTTGGATATGAAATTAATTAGACTTAAAATAAGTATTTGCATAATAACGAACAAAAGATCAATGTGAGGATTCTAGTTGATTTTGTGAAAGAAATAAAATATATTATGGATTGAAATTACATGATGTTTGTGGAGATTCATTTATCGCCCTCTTTCATGCTGTATTTTGGCTTACATCTTATAAATTGGTAATGCCAGTGCTAGTTCATCATTTAAAACCAGCTGGTTAAAAGATTAAATCTTAGATAGCAACTCCATAGAACCTGTTATATTTTGCTTTTATTTATCTACTGCTGCCATATTCATGTGACAATGGTTGGTAAGGTCATATTGTTTAGTATTCTGTAGAGACCACAGGAAACTGATCTATTGCCCTAACCTTTGAGACAACAGACAGTGTAATGCAACAACTTTATTTTAATTTTAGAGGCTATATTTACAGATGCATTGATGCGTCACTGAACACAATTGCACAACCACACAAATAATGAACTTTTCACAATGTCGGACAGTAAAGTAGGCTAGGAATCCAGATTTCTGTGCATTGTGGTGAGAGGGAGTCGCACCTGCTCCACGTTCTGCCCTTGTCTTTGCATGGCCCGTAGCACACCCTCGTAAGAGTAGCCCATGCCTACAAGGGTTTCCACACACTGACGTTCCTGGGGGTCATGCTGAGCAGGGCTCCGCCACACGGCAGACCAGCAGATCCTGACCCTGGGTGTCTAGTGAAAAAACATGAGTTGATCTCTTCTCTGTTGTGGCTTTTAAAAAAAAAAACATCTTAATATTAAGTGTTATCTACATGCTATTTACAAGCTAACATTCCCTACATTTTATGAGGGGAACCATGTTTCTAGCTATCACTATTAAGCAAATATTCTTTGTTTTTGTTTAGTATGTTTTTTAGTTAATGTCTCTAGTGGCGAAACTGCATCAGACTCTGCTGTCTTAATTGTGGTTTCAGTCTGTATAATTAAGACAAAATTTGTTGCAATTGAATTAAGTATTTAAGAGTTATAGCAGATTAAATATATTTGACCACACCCACAAAAGAATATTAGGTAATCATGGAAAAACGATCCATGATATCTCAAATCAAATATAGAGATAGTGTTCGGGTCCTATAAACAGGATATGTACCAGGTTTGGTGAAACTTGGATCAAGGGAGTCAAATGTATGTCTAGCAAAAAAATTAGTGAACTTAATCAGTCTTCTTCATCATCCACTGCATGACCACCAAAACATGGCTGATGTGGAAATCTGAAATCACACAGATGAGTCTGCATTATGTAGGACCTTAACTCTGATCAATTAACAGACATTAACCGTTACTTCACAGTTGTCTCAGTTTATTTACCCTGGTAAGCTCAGGCAGGCCAAATATGGCCTCTATTCTGTTGCATATTCGTCATTTTTCTGCTGACTAGGCCTCACAGTTGGATGTTTCCAGTTTCCACTGACAATACCTGGATGGACAATCATCTATGTTGTTGCTGCCTTGTCAAATGAACATAGAGAATTAAAAAATGCATTTGTTGTAGAAGACAGAAAACAAGGAGCAGGAAAGTTGTATTTCCTCACCACCTTCATGTAACACATTTAATCTGTCATGACCATAGTTGGAAAAAAAATAACCATTATCAAATTAAACTCAAAAAGCCACACCAGCAACAACCAAGTCTCACCACTAAAAAGATGTGCACATTTAATCATGTGGATTTTCCAGCTCATTCAAGAGGAAATTGAACATTTTGTAAATCACATTGTAGGAGCTTGGGAAAGAACACTCAGCTCACCCTCCGTCTAGTATACCATTAAGATCAATGTTCATTAGATTCATTAGAGCCCCATGTTCTATAAAGTGGTGACGTAAAAGTGGATCTGATATATAAACCTTTAAACTCGATCCCTTAAATAATGATAACCTAGCTGCATTTCATCCCTGCATAACTAAAAGATCACAACAGAAATGGAAGGAGGCATTGATGGAGAAGGTCCAGAACCTGTTATACTGTATTCAGCCAAGCCTTTGTGGCTGTAAGAGGAGAGGCAAGTGGACATCAGCTTGCTTTATGTATGATTAACAAAACCACACTTGAGTTATGTATGGAGACAATAATACCACTTATGTGTTTGTCTGTAAGGTAAGAGTGCTGTTCATCTTCATCACAGTAAATCAAGATGGAAGGCTATTAAAAAACAGAACCCGTTGAAAAGACTTCTTAATGTCAACCACATACCAGACTTCGATAGAAGTACAGATACTAAATCAAGTAAAATTACGTCTGTTTTGACAATAAACGGCACAATAAATAAATATGTCAAACTCAAAGGTTGTTCTAAAATAGATTGGTAGCTAGAAATGTTCTACTTGCATCTGTGGAACACGGGACAAAGTATTGGACCTCGCTCAAGCTAAGTGCCAGTTCTCCGAGTCACTTTTTGCTAACTTTAAGCCCTTAATCTGTTACCATGCCTCTCATAATCCCCATCAGTACTATAGAGCTCAAGATTATGGAAATTTCTGCCATCTTTGCCCTTGGTGCATCTGAGCAGCCATGCTTTTTAAACATATGTAGCATGAAACTCTGGAGGTCCATTAACACATACTATGAAAATAAAGGATGCTGGCCTTCTTTTAAACAATGATACCTAATCAACATTTGGGAAAATGTTTTTGGCATGTGGTGACTGAACCTTTTTTTTCTTTTTACTTTTACATTTAAGACTGTGGAGATGCCAACAAACCTAAAATCAAGATGAACTCTCATTTCATAATACACGAGAAAAAAAAAGTGGACAAGTCAACAAATCAGAGTCATGTTTGATGAGATTTTGTGGCATGAAATCCAATAACAGAATAAATGATAGAAATCACTGAAATCGAACCTTTTCTAATTACATCCAAATTTCAAACAAGGCTTGACAACCATTCCTCATCTCCCAACAATAACTTGAGGCTCAAAATACCAGTCATCAGTCACAAATATGAAATATCTCTATTGCACTGTGATGAGGCTGCAAAAGCAACCCTCACTTACATCTTTTTCTTTTTTAAACCACTCACTCTTTTCCAGTCTGCAAACAAAAGTCCATGACAGTTAAAAGTGTCACTTTTGTAAGTTAACATATCTTACATTATCATATCAAACTCTTTATTTTTAAATGAAAGTGTCAGTGTACTATTTTAAATAAGTCGATAATTATGAAATGTGTGTGCGCCTGTGCAGTATGCGACACCTCAGTGCCAGTGGGTTGTGGGATATTTCTTAATATTTCCTACAGAGGAACTTTCCCCATCTCTCCCCACTCCTTCAACAGGCCATTCCAGTGCAGGTCAAAGAACATACTGGGGCAGTAGTATCTCTTATGTTCTGAGTTATAATGACTAAGGATCTATTATGCAGTTCCTAAAACAGAAAGCAAAGAAATGGAATCTTTAAACTGAGATGAAAAAGTGCTCAAATGAACAGAAATACAGACATGAATAAATGAAAGCATTAAGTTGAACAGAACTAGGTGCAGGGCACCAGAGCAGAGAGGGCACTTCTTGAGAGTCAGTTCTCTGTCTGGTGACTGTGCCTTTTTTTTTTTTTTTTCTTTCTTACTTTTAATGTTAGTAGGTTCAGTTTGAAGATAGCCTCCACAAGGCCCCCTATCCCCTCCACCATTTACTAGGTCTGCACTGAGCAGTGGAAGATGGCAGCTTAATTGTAGGGAGTCTTAAGAGTTCAAACTGGTCTTTCTGTGTTGCACTCACTGTCTCTCCCCTTTCGGTCCTGCAGCTTTGCCTGCAGTCAGATAAAGACTTCCGAGTGGAAGCAAATCAGAATGGCATCAAAACGCCACAGCCCAATTCTTCCAGTTTCTCCATCCCAGCTCAGTCATTTGTTGCATTCTTGAAAACCTATCAGTGTCAAATCCTGGAGCCCACCCCCAGGATTTCTTTAAAAAAAAAAAAAAAAAAAGAAAAAAAAAGAAAACACCGCCACGAAGAATTGTTACACTTTGACCCCCTCCACTCTAGGCACACAGTCTTTAAGAAGTGCTGAGACACAATACGTTTTAGCACAGAGAGAAATACAACTGTCTCCCAGCTGTCCCTTCCACAGCCAAGGCAAGGACAGGGCATGGTGTGACAGGGTAGGCAGAAGGAAAGATGCTGTGTTGGGTGGTAGCGGGAGGCAAGCCCTGGGCTGGGCTTTGGTTGGCTGGCTAGTTTGGCTCAGCTAGCTGCGGCACGAGCCATCAGGTCCTCTAGAGCCTTGTCCTGATCATTGTTGTGGACCAGCAGCACCTCTTTGATGGCATCCCGCTCAAATCCCATTTCACCAAATCTCGACATTAGTTCAAGGAACTGCAAGGCCTAGGAAGGATAAAAAAAAAAATTGAACTACTATATATCATAAAATCTATTAATGTAATCTACAGACTTTGCTAAATTACTAACAGACAGGGAAATGTAGAAGTATAACTCATATTTCAAAGACTAAACATTGTTTTCTCTCTCCAGCGATCTGACTTAACATATAAACACAATGCATGTTTTTGAAATATACTGTACAAACCTTTTCCTCTGAGCATTGGTACATCTCTAAACATTCTTCCACTGCACTTGCATCGAAGCCCCGGTCACACAGACGTCCAGACAAAATAAGATAATCCAGTACCTTGAACAAACAATAAGTCCAAGTTTATTATACCTCTACTTTGGATATGAAATTAATTAGACTTAAAATAAGTATTGCATAATAGACGAACAAAAGATCAATGTGAGGATTCTAGTTTGATTTTGTGAAAGAAATAAAATATATTATGGATTGAAATTACATGATGTTTTGTGAGATTCATTTATCGCCCTCTTCATGCTGTATTTGGCTTACATCTTATAAATTGGTAATGCCAGGTGCTAGTTCATCATTTAAAACCAGCTGGTAAAAATTAAATCTTAGATAGCAACTCCATAGAACCTGTTATATTTTGCTTTTATTTATCTACTGCTGCCATATTCATGTGACAATGGTTGGTAAGGTCATATTGTTTAGTATTCTGTAGAGACCACAGGAACTGATCTATTGCCCTAACCTTTGAGACAACAGACAGTGTAATGCAACAACTTTATTTTAATTTAAGGCTATATTTACAGATGCATTGATGCGTCACTGAACACAATTGCACAACCACACAAATAATGAACTGTTTCACATGTCGGACAGTAAGTAGGCTAGGAATCCAGATTTCTGTGCATTGGTGTGAGAGGGAGTCGCACCTGCTCCACGTTCTGCCCTTGTCTTTGCATGGCCCGTAGCACACCCTCGTAAGAGTAGCCCATGCCTACAAGGGTTTCCACACACTGACGTTCGCTGGGGGTCATGCTGAGCAGGGCTCCGCCACACGGCAGACCAGCAGATCCTGACCCTGGGTTGGCCTAGTGAAAAAACATGAGTGAATATCAAAATATTATCATATTTCTTACTTACCATCTCCCAATCTGAGTTGCCATACCACACACAAACCATACATGCAATTGGTCATATACTGTATACTGTATGTACACTCACCAGTTTCAGTGTGCCACTCTTAGTGTGGCTGGGTGGCTGTGGCTCAGGGGCAACAATAACTTGGGTCTTGGGTATGGCCGGCGGACTGCCATTGGGTAGGTTCTGTCGTGGAGCAGGGATGGGTGCAGGGAGTGGGCAGTACTTCACTGGCTCTGGGTCACCAGAGTCAGAGAGCTTGGGAAAAGTCAGAGAGCGGATGTTACATGGTCGGTCATCCGTGTCAAACCCCACTCTCCCAGGATGCCCAACTCTGTCCATGTCCAGCAAGGCAACCAACCCATTGGGTTTGTGGGTAAAGCCTGGTTTGGCTGGGAGGCTGGTGTTGATGCTGGGAGGAGATGGGCTGTTTCCACGTGACACTGACCCCATCTGGGAGACCTCTGGTGGGGATACAGAAGGAGGAGGTTGAGGTTGGGGCTGGCTCTGGAGGATGTTCCTGAGCTCCTCCTTATCGTCCAAAGTTTTGAGCTCCAACTTGTCAAAGGGGTCCTCTTCCCGCTCAAAGTCAGCTAGGTTGAGGCTGTGTGGCTGAGGAGTGCTCGGCTGGGTTTTCCTGGGGCCAAGGCTTGGGGCAGGCAGTGGTGTGAGGATGGCATTATGGCTCAGCCCTGCCAGGACGGGGTTCAATGCTGGTGGTAGAAGGTCCTGGTCGTCTGCAGCAGACCGGGGTATCTTCCCTCCACCACCATCAATGTCCTGGGCCTGAGCCAAACACTCTCTATTCTCTGCCTCCTGCTTGGCTGCTGCCTCTTCTGCTCTGGCCTCTGCTGCTCTGGCCTCAGCCAGTTCAACCCCCCAACGCACACTTCGCCTCTCCAAAGAAAAGTCATACTGTTGACATTGTAGATTGTAGAGAGAGGAAGAATGGGGATGAAGTGCAAAGCGGGCACATAGAGTAACAGAGAAAAGGAAAATAATTATCAATACAAGAGTGACATGATGATGATCTAAATTACTATAAGCTGAGAATAATTAGTTTGCTCATTTCCAGTATGACTATTCATGTAATGTTTACAAAGCAGGACTGAGAGCAAGCCACATAATGATGAGTGCCATAATATGTGTGGATCAGCTCGGTTAAGCACTGCTGTGAGGATGATCCAAAGATGTATGTAAGTGCAGCGGCTAAAAACAGTGCAAAATCAACATCTCCCCTACACCTGACTTGCCTGTGTGTCCACAAGCAAAGAGCCACAGTCAGGCAGGCAGAAGCCAACAGGCACCCCCACTTTGGCTGGGCAGCGGAATTTTTCATTAATCTTGAAGGGAACATCATCAAGGTAGCTGATGGGTCCTGTGTACAAAAACAAAGTGAACATAGGTTAGAGGAAGAGACACTTGACATATAAGCACCAGCAGATCTTCAACCTACACTTAACTCACAGCTCAAAACAATGGTCAAACAGTGAAACATGTATTAGATATAGGCACTCACCATTGTTGTATGCATCTGATCCAGACTTCCTCGCAGCCATTTAGAGACTCTGAAAAAAGACCTGACTCCATAAGTTAGTGAGCAACAAAAGTGCCACGTTTTTTTTTAGTTGACAAAGGGTTGATAATTACAAGCCATAGATGAATGTATCTTCAAAACAGACCATGATGCACAAGTTTGAAAACAGGCCCAAAGTGGATTTCCCCAGTTTCACCTGCCTGCAGTTGTGACATTTTGTCTGATATGGAGGCTTCTGATATTTACATATCTTTCATTTATGTCTTTCACTGAGCTCAGAAACTCGTCCTACTGAACAGTTATAATCAAAGCATAAGAGCAATGACACTTTATCACATGGTTGTGCAAAATGTCCCTTCTATTCAAATTAAAACTCTTCATTATCCCACTGGCTTTGCATATCAAGTCACATAATCCCATTACTTGGTCATGCTGTGCAACAATGCCTGTCATTATCAACACAGAGACGCCACTGTGTTCACATCTGCTGACACAGAACTTTGATCTGTGTGCTGGTGTAGACCCATGTTCAGTAGGAAAAGTGATTAATCTGATCCATTTACACGGATGAAAGAGGCTGATTTGTCAGTATAATGTTCTTAAAGCTCCAACAAGCTAAGTTTTAAATAAACACTGAATCAAATGGCTCATTGATATATGATTGGGTTGCAAATATTGCATTGCATTGAAAATCAACACCCAACCCGACATCTCTTTGCTTTTGTGTGCTTGTTCACTTGATTAAATCCAATCTCATCAATCCCCCATATGAGACCATATAGCCAGATATTTCTACAAAAGAGACACACAAGCCAACTGTACACTACTCACAAAATAGGATTAAGACAGAAAATGAATGCCTGGTGACAAAATATGAGCATCTATCAAGCCAAAGAGAGGCAGACAATTTTCTCAGGAATTTGTGGGATCAAACTTTTGCTCAAAGGAAGGTGAATATTGGCCTTGGATCCACAGGACTGCACAAAGATGTCTACTGGACACCTAGAGAACAGGTTACTTACACCTAAACCATAAGTAACTGATAATCACATATTATAATGCTTAATGCTCTGTTTCAATTAGTTTATTTTATAGTCTGTCTGCTTCCCAGTTTTCAGAAACTGCTTAAGGCATCTATAATGTTGCTGAGACATTAGTCATACATCCACTTATACTTACGGAGTAACAGTTTCACTAAAACATTTTTTTTAAATCACCAATGAGACTAATAATGAGAGACTAAGGACCCTAAAATATGACTATGATTCATCCTGGTCAAATTGGGGTGGATCTCTGGCATGAAAGGGTTGCTGAACATTAACATCTTGTTATCAGTCTATGCCTTCTGGTACCTTCTTTTGAAAATATAAAATGGCCAGTAAAGGCCCCAGGCACTCCAAGAGAGTGACCAGGGGCATAAATGTGAAAACCTAAACCTTTTAACACATCTGAGTCAAACTGCAACCTACAGGCAGGCAACATGTACTACACTGACTTGGGAACTGGACATGTCCAGTTTCGCGTTTTGTACTTATAATTACGACCAGACTACACGCTCTCTGGCTGATGATGCGTGGAAATGGGCTACACATGATCAGAATGTGTATCTCTCTGTCAGATTTTCTCAGCGTTAACTAATGTTGAGTTATTAGTTACCCTGTGGTTAAAAGCTTACAGCACTTAGGGTTAACGTTACATAACATCCAACCACCGCAAGTTGTTGTTCCAATGAATTAGTACTCATGGTTAGAGCACAGTTAACATAACATAACAAGTGCTAATGTTAGTGGTTAGGTTAGCTGGCTTGGGTTGCTAAACTGCTAATAACTTGCAACGATAACGAAAGCATCGCAGTAACTGTAGTTCATCATATATTCAAGCAAGACTACGGAAATTGACGTTTCAAAGCACCTAGCTGCCACGTATGGCTCATTATCGCCAGTAGACGCACTGAGGTACGATGTAATCATCGGCAAGTATTACCTAAGTTGGGATAGCGTTAATTAGCAACAAGCTAAGCTACTACTATCTTTGGTTACTGCTAGCTCAACGCGCGAACAGCAAACATAGAGACACACTTTAGACAAGAAGTCAACGCCGGGTGTGGCATTTGTTGGTTTTAGAGGAATACTGAGGTGGGATTAATTACGTCGCTGACAGTCACCACTAGCTACTGGCTAATATTTTCGGGGAGAAGCTACTGTTCGTGCTAACACACTTAGCCTCGGCAGTGGCCTCCCTGTAACGTTGTGTGTCTGGGTAGGACAGACGACTGTCTCCGTTGACACCGCCCCTGAAACAAAACTGAGCCCACATGTAAACACAAACTCATCTCACCTGTATCTGCTCCGTCTTGTTTTTTCAAAATGCGAACGAAGTCTTGTCGAGATGGCACTCAAAGTTAAACTGTTCCGAATGAGTTTTATTTATTCTGAAATCTCTTTCCTGCTTCGGCGTGGGACGCCATCTTGATTTGTCAAGCTCCCTAACGCTGGTTCCTGTCTGACGTCACTCACCTACATGACGTCAGAACATAGCATCAACACATCCAGCTGTGAGTCAAGAAGCTAGCACACTGATAGAAAACAATGTTCGTTTTTAAAATCCATTCTTTATTTTTCTTTTGTATTTTAGGAGTAGAATGCAATGCATTTACAACTCCCTGAACTTAATACATAAAATGACAATAAGAAGCATACACAAAACTCCCATTGAATGAGTAGTAGCCTGCTAAGCAAAATACAAATGTAATCAGATACAAAGTAAAAGCGTGTTCATTTTAAATCTAAATAAGCCTTTAATGAGAAGAAGAGCAGCTCAAATCATTTATCCAAAAACCTGGGGTTGACAAAGTTTATTAATTTGTATTATATTATCTTTATTGTAGTATTTGTTTGAAAAATTGAAAGACAGTGATCCATGATGGTGATAATTGTAATAATATGAGAACCCAATCGATTGTGAAATCCAATCATTCAAGTTTATTGGGGAAAATATTAAACTGCCTAACACAGCAATTTTATGCTGCCTTTCAATGTACTTCTCCCCAGTAATGTGGTTTGTCCTGCTAGTCCATGGATAACAGCCTGACCAAATCTAGGAGTCCCAAAGATGTTTTATTATAAGACTGAGTAACATATCTTCTTCTAGCTGATCTTCTGCTCCCAACCTTGAACCAAAGTTAGTTGATTTATTTCCATGAGACTCTGAGAATTAGCAAAGACAGAATAATTAGACATCATCATTTTATTAATTTCTGAAATTAAGTAATAGTGGTCAAATTTGAAGCTGTGCATACATCTAAATGGTTTTATTTATCTCAAAACCACAATGAAACATAATACCTGTCTAGAATTAATTACTAAGGGACATACATTGAAGTTCTACTTGCTGAAATTTTAAATAATATTTTAAAATAATGTTTTTATTAGTGAATCTGTGTGTGATGATGGTGATGACTGCATTGTATGACTGACTTATCAGAAGCAGATTTTTTCTCAGGTCCCTCAAGTAAAATGATTTTGATATCAATTAAACTTACTGAATAAGTTTACAGTTAACCAACTAACCAGAGACTGATTGTGAAATATAATGAGATGTAAATGACTTCCTATAGTACCTGAAGTGGAATTCACAAGCTTTTTTATTACAAATTCAAGCAATGTGATATCTCTGAATAAATCATAGACATAAGGCTAAAGTCAAGCAGAAGATGTTTATTGACAAACTATATAAAAGGTTAAAACAACAATGTAGCCAACTTGAATAGAAAGAAACTGGAAATAAAATGTAATTCGCTGCTATGTTATTTCCCCGGTCATAAAAGTAATGTCAACTGAAATATATGGAATCAGGTACATGTGTATCTTTAATGTTGGGGGTTATGGTTGTTACGTTAAAAAAAAAATCTTAAATTAGTGAATATCTTAATTTTTTTCAGCATCGAGTGCGCGCACGTCACGTTCAGACCCGTGCGTGCTTTACGTTCTGCAGACACGCGCAATGATAGCCGGAAGCATCGATGGGAGGAAAATAAAAATCGATTAAATCCACTGTAATTCGCGAGTGTAAACCTCTCACCTACTGTTCTTTTCGCGACCGTAGGCTCGAATTTATCAGGCTTCTGCACTGCCACTGTACCGGAGGGGACGGTAGAGAGCAGAGAAGCTGCTCCATTTGAACGAAGTTGCTCGGTAGGGGTTTAGCTGACGTGTGGAGAAGTTGAGACAGCCAGAGAGCAGATAAACAAACATAAACAAGCAGTGATCAGCTGAGCGCCTGTCCGAACCGAACCAGCAGCACGGAGAGGTGCCAGGGAGAGCGGGTTTCCTCTGTTGAGCCCAAGAATGATCCACAGGAGACCGTGACTTACACTGATACTAGCTCCATGTCAACTGTCAACACTGGCACACAAAGAATTTCGGAAGCACAACACGAGGACCAGCCATAGGCTTTAGCAGAAAACCCACTGCTCCTGTCACTGTCTGTTTGTCAAGACATAGCTAGGCTAACATGGACAGCCAATGAGTTTACCTTCCAGTGTCCAGCTGTAACGAAACGAATACACATTACAGTGCAAGGAGACAGAGGTAAACACTTTTCATTAACTTTGCTTTTTCCCCCATAAAGGGCCTGCGAACTAAAGCACTGACCTGAGCTAGCTTGGCAGGCCACATATCCTGTTTGTGTTTGAATTCCCTATGTGTCGTTCAGTTTAGCAGAAGAGTTGTTATCTGTTCAGGTTTTGCTGTTTATTTTGTCCTGGCGTTTTCTAGAGACTAATGCCAATACAAACAAAGCTAACAGATTCAGGGTGTTTGCTGCAGAGTCAACTGTTATGAAATTAAAAATACATGAAGTTCAAGTAGAATCTTGACAATAATATTAAGCTAAAATTTTTTTCTCTCTTCTGGACCCATCCACCTGCCTACCTACCTACCTTTCACTAATCTGTGGTCACTGGTGTCAGAAGTGGGATTAACATGGCCCATCAGGCAACCCCTAGTTCACAGAAGGCCCTGATGATGGAGCTGAAGTCTCTGCAGGATCAGCCGGTGGAGGGCTTCCGCATCACTCTGGTGGAGGAGTCTGACCTCTACAACTGGGAAGTGGCTATCTTCGGGCCCCCAAACACCCTGTATGAGGGAGGCTACTTTAAGGTCAGACAAAACTTTGTCATACCAATTTATGAATTCAGAAAGGTCAAAGCAGAGCTCCATGTTTAGATAGTGAGGCATGTTCATGAAGCTAATTTAGATCCAGCAGCAACAGATTATATACAAGTATATAGTGCAGCTTTGTTCCTGGGCAAGTTTGCTTTTCCAAAATAGGATATGCACTCAGCGGCTTATAGTGTTTATACCGTTCAGTTTTGGATGACATTGTCATAAATGTGTAATTTCAATTATATGCTCATTACTGAGGACAGTGTTAGATGTGGTGTTGTACTGCATTAAATTATATTGAGAGGTTTTCATAATTTTTTTTTCTTTCCATTTACATGCATGGGGGGGGGGGGGGGGGATTAGAAATACGTCTGAATAAATGCCAGTCCAGTGGAACACCAGTACTAACTATGACCTCAGTGCTAAAACCTATATAACCTCTCTATGACAGTGTGAAAAAAAACCTTGATCATAACCTTCATAACAGAAGTAGAATTCATGGCAGAGTTGTTGTATTGGATTGTATTAGATTGATATCAGATGGCCTTAGATTTGTGATCTGCAGCCATTTCTTTTTTCTTTTTTTTTCTTCAATCTTTCTCCCCTGTCCCTCCACTCTCCTTGTCCAGCCTTCTCCCCCCTCACTGTATGATGGTTGTGCTTCAGATGGCTATTTTTAGCTCTGAGACTGATATAAATGGCACCTCAGCACAGAGAAAGAGTAAGAGAGAAGGGCATGATGAGACTCATCTACATTTCTTTCATGTTACTTATTCAGTAAATCATCTAGAATATGCGGTACAGTGGGTGCCCGCATGCAAGTTGGGGCAATGCAGAAGATGCTGTAGCTGTCCAGGAATGCCAAAATAATACAGAGCAGGTGTTGCCATCTACTCTTGTAGTTGGCCTCTGTTGATTACCTTATGTTTAGCCTTTTAGTCTTAACAGAGACATCCTTTTGTTATCTCTTATCACACCAAGCCAAATTAATTTTATTTATAAAGCCTTGGATCACAAGTTTGTTTCAGAGGGTTTTTACGCTCTGTACAGCATATTATATTAACCCCCCTATCCTTAGACTCTGGGGTCACGTAAGGAAAACCTCCAAACATAAAATTAAACCTCAAGAGGTAAAAAAATGGGAGAGACCTCAGAGCAACCGAGGAGGATCCATCTTTGAGTACAGTTAGACATGCAATAGGTGCCATTGGTGAGAAGTGAAGTTCACCCTGGACAGGTTTAAAGTCCATTATACAGCTAAGAAATTCAAACACACACACACACGCACATTCATTGGCAATTTAGAGTTTCCGATAAAACTAAGCAGTACACCTTTAAATTCGAGGTCCCAGCCTGCTGACACCATCCAACCCAGTACCTTCTTGCTTTGAGGCAAGCAGTGCTTACCCCTGAACCACATTATTACAAATAAGCTGACTTGTTGAGTCTGGTATATTACAGAAAGAAAAGCGTTTGCTGTTACACTTTTCCGGTGTAACTGACCTATATAAAATATTTAATAGTATAACTATGTTACTTGGTGATCTGCATGGCTCCTGTAGTGCATACCATGCATAGTTCATGCGTCTGGGATGTGTCTATATTTCAGTATGGAAACTGATAGATATTGGACATCAGTTCATGGCAGTGTGTCATGACATCTGTGTTTTTAATGTCCCAAGGCTGCAGCAGTGCAGTGACTAGTTGTGGAGTAATGATAGTCCTATCTCAATGGCAGCAGTTCTATGAGAGCTGGGGGGTGTTACACACACCCAAGCCTACAAGCCTTTCACCTAGATAATTGCACAATACTTTTGGCAAGAAAACAAAAAACAAGAAGCACCTAATGTTACGTCAGGTAATTTTTGGCTTTAAAATGTGTCAGCTGAAGTTTAAAAGTTCTCAGCTGGTGCACAGTGTGATTGTAGGCTTGGCACAGTGTGCATTTCTCTGTGGTGAAATACTCCAAATGAAGGGGTACAGAAAGTCACTATGGTTGAATTCTTGTTATTAATCAACTAGTGAGGCTAGAAAAGTCTGTCAAGAGAGGGTTTATTTTTATTGCAGTATTACAGTCTGGCTTGATCAGTGAACAGAATCCAACTTGGACAGATCTGATCTCTCCAGTATGGACACACGGAATCTGTCCATACCAGGGTTTAGCGAAAAGCAGCTGTTCTTAACCTTTCTGGTCTCTGAGGCTTATAATGAAGTTAATAGTTATTTGTATCGCCTAGAACACAACAAGGCAACGAGGCAACATGAAGGAAGAATTTATTTTGTCTTAGTAGAGAAAGCATGCATTGCACAGTTTACAAATATGTGTTTTTGGTTTATTTGGATTTATGAAATTTATTTTTTCACAGTTCACATATCACTGTGCTGCACCAGTGATACCGCCAAAGCATCAACTCACATCTCCCCGGGGTCTCAGGCCTGAGGGACTCTCTGTAAAACACGTCAAAAACTGTCAACCTCTGTTTGTTCTCCCAGGCTCACATCAAGTTTCCAGTTGACTACCCATACTCCCCACCAACCTTCCGCTTCCTCACCAAGATGTGGCACCCCAACATTTATGAGGTAAAACATTTTTGTGTTTGTCATTAAATGATTTTACACACTTTTTGTGACCATTATTATGATAATTTTGGCTTTTATATTATTGATAAAATGGAGCCACTCCACTTTGTTCTCTCTCCAGAACGGAGATGTGTGCATCTCCATCCTGCACCCTCCTGTTGATGACCCTCAGAGCGGGGAGTTGCCCTCTGAAAGGTGGAACCCCACCCAGAATGTCAGGTAACTTGCCACAAAACTTCTGGTTTGGTTGTTTTTTCATAGCTAAACTGCTTTTAAAAAATGAAGGGAACACATGAATCACAAATCGAATCTTGATGAACAAATTATACAAGTTGAAAGACTTTACTCATGTACATTGTATAATTTGTTGAGAACAAAATGATATAACAACGGTTAATGGAAACCAAAATCTTCAACCCACTGAGGGCTGGATTCACAATTACACCGAAAATCAAAGTAAAAAATTGAAATCAATGGCTGATCCAACTTGCGTGAATTTCATCACGGCAACTCATAATGTGAATCAGTAGTGTGTATGGCCCCCGCCTGCCTGTATGCACTCCCAACAACGTCTGGGCATGCTCCTGATGAGTCGGCGGAAGGTGTCCTGGGGGATCTCCTCCCAGACCTGGATCAGTGAGCCCCTGGACAGTCTGTGGCGGTACTTGGCAGCGTGGGATGCACCGATACATAACGTCCCATACGTGCTCAATTGGATTTAGGTCAGGGGAATGTGAGGGCCAGTCAATGGCATCAATGCCTTCGTCATCCAGGAACTGCCTACACACTCTGGCCACATGAGACACATGAGAGACACATGGAGGACTGTGCGACCCTCCCCAGACCATCACTGACCCACCACCATACCGGTCATGCTGGATGATGTTACAGGCAGCATAACGTTCACCATGGCGTCTCCAGACTCTTTCACACCCGTCACATGTGCTCAGTGTGAATCTGCTCTCATCTGTGAAGAGAACAGGGCGCCAATGGCAGACCTGCCAATTCTAGTGTTCTCTGGCGAATGCCAATCGAGGTGCACGGTGCTGGGCTGTGAGCACCAGTCCCACTAGAGGACGTTGGGCCCTCATGCCTCCCTCATGGAGTCTGTTTCTGACAGTTTGGTCAGAAACATGCACACCAGTAGCCTGCTGGAGGTCATGTTGTAGGGCTCTGGCAGTGCTCCTCCTGTCCCTCCTCGCACAAAGGAGCAGGTACCGGTCCTGCTGCTGGGTTGATGCCCTTCCACGGCCCTGTCCAGCTCTCTTCGTGTAACGGCCGATCTCCTGGTATCTCCTCCATGTTCTTGAGACTGTGCTGGGAGACACAGCAAACCTTTTTGCAACTGCACATATGGATGTGCCATCCTGGAGGAGCTGGACTATCTGTGCAACCCGATTGGGATTGGGCTGCAGGTACCTCCTCATGCTACCAGTAGTAACAAGGATACTAGCAAAACACAAAACTAGAGAAGAATCAGTCAGGAAGGATCAGGAGAGAACAATTGTCTGTGGCCACCACATGCAAAACCATTCCCCTTTCGGGGTTGTCTTGCTTTTGCCTCTCCATTGTACCTGTTGTCACTTTCATTTGCACCAAAGTATGTGAAATTGATTCACAATCACTTGTGCTTCCTCAATGGACAGATTGATATCCCTGAAGTTTAACTGACTTGGTGTTATACTGTGATGATTAAGTACATATATATATATGTACACACACACACACACACACACACACACACATATACACATACACATACATATATATATATACCTCCTCTCTCAGGCTTCTCTCTGGAGCTTTGTTGTGACATCACAAAGTTACAGAAGTCCTGACGGCTCATTTTAAGGCTCAGTTTCTGAACACAAGCTGTGTGCATTTCTCTGTGGACTGAGTGCTTTAATACTTTCAGAGTATAAATTTAGCACCTAGACTTAATCGAAAAAGACATGGAAATCTCACTTTAAGGGACTTTTTAAAAAATATTTAAATAATTAAATTGAAATTCTCCAACATAGACTATAGGATAAGAAAGCTGAGGTAAAGGACTTGCTATGCCCTTCTACAAACAGAACTAATTTTGAAATATGAAAAACATGAGCAGTATAGCATAATTCACCAATTCTGCAAAATCAAGAACAGTGTAAATTAACAGTTCACTTTTAGCAGTCCTTTGTTCTGTGTGACCTCTAAAGAACGAGGCACTGCTGCTGCAGGGTAGTGTTAAGAAGTTCTTTTAAATGTAGCAAGTCAGCAAGATAGATTTTTTCCAGGAGTAGAGATAAAGTGCTGAGTCTGTATTTGAAAGTCTAGGCAGATTGGCTGTAGCATGTAACTGAGATTACTATAGTTTCAAAAATTGTGTAGTTTTTTTTTCATACAATGACAGATCTGATATTTGAGTGTCCTTATTTTCTGTTTGTCTGTGGCTCTGCGTGGTGATCAGGACTATCCTGCTTAGTGTGATCTCACTGCTCAATGAGCCCAACACATTCTCTCCAGCCAATGTGGATGCCTCTGTCATGTTTCGCAAATGGAGGGACAGCAAAGGCAAGGACAAGGAGTATGCAGAGATTATCAGGTAATAACTATTATCCATGTACAGACAAACATGTGCTTATACCAAAGAATTATAGTATATTGCTGTCCTGCAGTCAGCCCAGAAAATGTTTATAATTTGGAAATCACCCCAAAAAGACGTTATTCCTTTTGGCCAACAGGAAGCAAGTGATGTCAACAGCAGCAGAGGCTGAGCGCGATGGCGTCAAAGTCCCAACCACACTGGCAGAGTACTGCGTCCAGACCAGAGTTCCCTCCCAGGACAGCAGTTCAGACCTTCTTTATGATGACCTCTACGACGACGACATGGAGGAGGAGGATGAAGAAGAAGACGAGAGCGAGATGGAGTCTGTAGGCGAAGCAGGGGGGCTCAGCGCCGTGGAGGACGGCGGGACGTCCACCAGACGATATGACAACCAGGACGACTCTGGCAATGAAGACTCATGATGATCTGGATAATAACTCCGCCCTGCCAACTCCCCACCACCCTCCTTCTTTTCTGTTTTACGTTAGAATTTTGTGTGTGTGTGTGTGTGTGTGTGTGTGTGTGTGTGTGTGTGTGTGTGTGTGTGTGTGTGTGTGTGTTTGCACATACAGTGGGGTCAAAAGTCTACTGCCAAAAACTTTTCATCATTTATTAAACTAATACCAATAATTGGTCAAACTATAATTCTCAAACACTCTTACATACATTTTCAGCAAAAGTTTGTTGGTACTTTTTTCACTGAACGTCAGATTTGGTGTTTCCACCGTTTGCCTTAATTACAGCTTGCACTCTGTCCAGCATGAAATATTTTGCAGAGTTTGAAATAATTCTAGCACCGTTAGTGAGAACGCTGAGAGTGTTTCTGATGTTGCATTACATTTCGCATTTTTAATGGTCCCATTGAGGAGGCTGAGGATCTTCTGCCACACTGCTTTAAACCAGACACGATGGCATGCCTCTGCAGAGTAGAGGAGTATTAGTCTATGGTGAGCAAGTGATTAATCATGTGCAAGTTACAGACTCCAGATGAGGCAAAAGATCCTCACACCTGAATATTTAAGTCCCTGTTTTATTACTCTCTCATACAACCAACTCCTCACATACTGTACTGTAAGTTTTTTGGTTGCAATCATGACATTTTTTTTTTCTTGTGTAAACAAGAGTTTCAACAATGAAACTGCAGTATTATTCAGTCCATGCTAAACCATTAGACATATTTTGCCTTTAAAGAAATGCTCTGGCAACTGCTATAGTTTGTCTTTTAACCATAGTTTTGGAGTAGGACTTTCTTTGTTGACTTTGGATCTTGGATCCAGATGCTATTCTGTCTGATAAAGATGCTGGCTTTATACCATGGTGCCATCTCTAGGTCTGTCTGCTCCTTGTTTCGATAAAAACAAATTTGTAAAAAGTATTTCCAGCCTTTTTTCATGTTTAGGCATTACCAGTAGTAACAGTTTACAGACCACAATAATTAACAGGTCATATGTGTTAATATTTGAGTTATACTGCATACTTGGTGATGCAATGATTTTTAGAAAATCTTGCCATTACATATACCTGCAATTAATTATAAGCATTTCCTAAAGATAAAACTTGCATGTATCAGTTCTAAATAATGTAGTCTTTATTTGAAAACCATCCACAAAGTAAACAACTTGTCTTAGTTTTTGATAAATGATGAAAACAAACTGTCCTTGTGGTGGTCTCTTGAACCCCACTGTAGCTGGCCGGCTCTTCGTCTGCTAGCCCATGTCAGGTTGTATGGTTTTGTGTTACAAGATTGGCTCTATCCACCGTGTCTTCACTTGTTGCTGTTTTTTATGTACTTTTCTTGTTTAGTCGGTTGACATTCTGTCCTCCCTCTCTTGTCCCTTGTATTCTCTGGGATGCCTCAGACAGTCTGGCTAATGGACACTTTGCTGTTTGGCTCATTAACCAGATGATGCACTGGCCAGCTTGTCTTGTCACTGTCCATCAGTGTGTCCCGTGGCAGAATATCTCTGTCCCTCTCACGCCTGTCTGTTCGACTTTGATGCAATCAACTTAAACTTGGAAACACAGGCTCTGCTGTGACTCCACCTTCTTGGACTCACCTTCAGTAGTGTCCATCACAACTGTTCCCTCACAATTACTCAAAACAACGTCATTTGTTTGGGGGTGAACAAGGTTAAGACCTTTTCTCACATCGCCTCCTACACCTCTCTCTGCCTCTTAAACCTCAGGGCCTCAATAGACTTTCACTGAGAGAAAAAAAAACAGTCAAAGAGAAACTTAATACACGAACTGCTCCTCACCTCCACCTCTTCTTTCTTATTTTCTGCATCACTGGGTGTTATTAGAGGGCAGAGAGTGAACTGAAAGTCTCCAATCCCACCGCCAGCGTGTTTACACGTGACTGAGTGTTGCTGTTGGTCCTGATTAGGGTCCTTTAAGTTGTTTTATTCTTGGTAGGCTAGAGACAAATTTAAAAAATCAAAATTCACCTGTAGGGACTTTGTCCTCAAGGCAGTGCTCACATAATGTTGCAATAGATGTGAAAATGTTACGTTTTGCGCTGTGACTCCAACTTACGCTTCAGTGCAACTTAGTGAAAATTGGACGTTGTTACTGTGCTACACCACATCCAGAGTCTGTTGATCAACAGGGATAAAATCAACATGCAGCTTAGCTACACAATTGCATTTGAATGAATATGACACTGATTGCCTGTTATCTGTGTGTGTGTGCGTGTGTGTGTGCGTGTGTGTGTGTGTGTGTGTGTGTCTACATTTACGATTCATCTATTGACTGCGATGTCAGGGTTTTCTTGTTCCTGTCTCTGTGGAACTGGTGCAGAGGTCTGTCACACAAGTGAGTTTGCCCATATGACCTTTTGGACTTTGTCCAGTTGAGAAAACATTCAGTGTGTTTGCACTGTGTTCTAGTGCTGTTTTGGGAGGCCTGAACTGGCTGAGGATTTGACTGAGCACCCTCTGAGTATTAAACTTCTGAACGCACTGAACAGCATAATGTGACTAATATTACTTGTACGGCATCAAGTAAACCGCACATTTGAGCTGTGTGTTAATGGTTGTCGGTATCAATCTGTTGCCCTGTTCAACACAATGGAGCACTGGGGCAAACCTTTGATTCACGTGGCTGGATTTTATGCCAAGGAAACCAAGTACAGCCCCACAACCTCTCATTTTAAAGACTATGGAGCAATGGATGCATGTAGTGGATTAAACGCTGTTTGGATAAACTCTTAAAGAGATTCCTTTTGGATTTTAATGTGAAGCCAAAGGAGTGAAACATTTCTCCCGGCCCTGTGTTTTGCCGGCTTGGATTCTGTTGAGGACGGGGAGAGGAAATCCACTCCTGAACCAGATCTTAAATGGATTTGATATCAAGGCACAGCAGGAAGTGGATTGATGCCAGAGATTCTGAACTTTTATTGATGTGGTCACCATTTTTTGCCCATTCCACACCATATAGAGAGGTAGAATACATCGTCAGTAACAGAAAGTACCAATCTCATGTGTACCTGCTAGAGGAATAGTTTGACATTTGGGGAAGTACACTTATTCACTTTCTGGTGGAGAGTTGGAAAAGAAGATCAATACCACTCTTCATGTATGTCTGTTAAGTGTATGAAGTGAAGACCAGCAGCTGGTTAGCTTAGCTTAGCTTAGCACAAAGATTCCAGTCACAGCTAGCCTGGCTGTGTCCAGCAGTAACAAAATCTGCCTGCCAGCACCCATTAAGCTCACTGATTGATATCTCATTTGTTAAATCCGTACAAAAACTGAGATGAAAAAATGACCATTCGTCATTTTACAGGGGTTATGTGCTGAACTATTTCTGGGCTGGGAGTAGTAACTTCCTGGATTCCCCACTGGTAGCCGGAAAACTGGTTAGAGCAAAAAAATAATACATCACATAAACCACCATAAAACAACTTTGGTTTTGGTACGGATTAAACAAATGAGATGTAACATGTTAATTACTGAGATTTAGAGGTGCTGGTAGGCTGATTTTGGTACCACAGGTCAGAGCCAAGCTAGCTGTTTCCCCCTTTATCCAGTCTTCATGCTAAGTTAAACAAACCAACTGATATCTATAGTTTTATGTTTAACAGATCTAATTAATCTTATAATCTAATCTAACAAATTTAACTCTCTGACAGAAAGTGAATATGCATATTTTTTAAAAATATTGAACTATTCTTCAGTTTACATATGAAGCTACAGTCAGCAGCTGGTTAGCTTAGCTTATCACAAAGACTGGAACAGGGAAAACGGCTAGACTGCCTCTGTTCAAAAGTAACAAAATCCACCTACCAGCACCTTTTAAGCTCACTAATTAAGACATTATGTCTGTAAAATCTTTTCTTGGCTAGGAGCAGTGAGTTTCTGAAGTCTACCTTCTCACAGAACCAGGCCAGTTGTTTTCCCGTTTTCCAGTCTTGGTGCTAAGCTAAGCTAAGCGAAGATAACCGGTAGCTTCATATTTCATAGAGGGGTATCAGTCTTTTCACATAACTCAGCAAGCAATGAAGCGTATCTCCCAAAATATTGAATTATTGCTTTAAAGCCAAGGTTTTGCCTGCTATCGCAAAGTAAAAATCTGAATCTGCATCATTGTTTTTGTTAGTGTTAAGTATAGGCGTAGTGTAGCCCTTATGATAGCAATTTGATGATTGGTTTAGAGCTCTTCAATATTAGAACCCTCCACTTTTTTACTTAATGGTATGCCTTGTTTTTATAATGAGCGCAGGTGGAGAAAAGCTAAGGAGGCCTTTTGAGGGAAGAGAGCCACCAACTATTATTATCTTAACTATTATTATCTCTGAGGGATGAGGAAAATTCCTAAACTCAAACTATACTCGCTTCAAAGGACCGCAGTCTAAGATGTAGAGATGTTATTCCATACACACTGTTACATACAAAAGACTGAATGAAATCATTAAGTTCATTTAATCTGTGTGTGTGTGAGCATGTGTGTGCACAAGTGTGTATTATTTGAAGTGTGGGTCAACACTGTGAGGTCCACTTGAGGCCTTCACATAGTCACACATTTAATGGACTGAACTGTCCACAATGCTACCACAACGTGTCCACACCAATTGATGTTAATGCTGTTCTTGTTGGTTTCTTCTTTGATTTTATTTCATTTTTTTCCTCAACATTTTGTGTTTGTGAGGATGCAAATGTCACTCATAAAGTTTCTATTGTAAAAAAAAAAATACATTGTTGGGTTTGTTTGCGATACGGCTTTGATATCTGTTGCTAAGCCCACATGTCATGGAAAGCAGACAACACAGCCAGCTGGTTTTTGGAGTAAAATTGATATGCAAATGGAGGCGTACAGTTATTGTGGTTAAGTTGGAAAATCATTCAAAAATAAAACAGTATGTCATTGAAACCTGATGAAAGGTTTTCACCTTATTCTGCTTATTGGTTTCCACTGGTCACTCCTACATGCTTTAATGGCTTGCTAGTGTGTTATTGTGGATGTGTTAGCTTATACCATGGTTCATCAACATTACCAAAAAACGTGGCCCTTGAAGTATCTAGTCATATGTCTCTGAGATTTCTGCCTCCACTCCAATACAATTGACTATTATATTTTTTAAAAATCCTACAGCAACTTGGGTTTCCAAAACTAATGTTCTTGTTACTGTGGAGAATCCATAGGACCATAGTTTTTAACTGGAACTCAGACTTTGTGACACTGTCATATTGTTTCTGGGTTGTTGCTGCTGAAATGTTTAAAATTTTAAATTTCAATGTTTTAATGCACCTAAAATCACTGTATCTGTACAGCATGAAATGCCAGTGGCAAGGAGGCAGGTTTTTGTCATATTTTGGTGAAACAACCCTTTAAAACTTTTTAATGGCCAAATTTATGTAACATATAGTCCATAATTGCACCTGAATTAAAATTCACTACGACAGTTAGTGCATAGAGATGATGTTAAAAGATATTCCATACTTAATAAGTACTAAATACTATAATAAGATGACATAAAAACTTCTAAGTTGCTCATGAAATGTGTAAACATGAGGAGAACTGGTCATTTCAATTCAGAACCATTCATTGTCCTTTATCATTGAAAGAGGAACTTTTATGCTCTGCCAGGCATGAAATTAATTACTGGTTCAATGATGCCCTGATGAGTCTTAAAGCAATATTCCAGCTTTTCCTGCATGTAGAACGTTTTACTTTATATTTATCTCATGAAAGTCAAATGATACAGGTCACCCACACTTCCACTTACTGTGTTTCCTGTGTCCCTAAAATAGCCAGAAGATATGGTAGTTAATTGAAGTGAGTACTTCCATTATGAGTTGAAAAAGCACATTTGTTTCTTTGTTTGTTGTTCTAATTACTCTTATTTCATCCCTTCAGCAAAGGCCATTAATGTAATTCTGCGGAGTGAAGTCCGGAGTAGAACATGTACCTCCATATAGTACAACGTTGCTGACCATGAGGGTCAAGGTTTTATGTCCCACTTGCATTTTACCCAACTTCCAGCTTTTTAGGTTTATATTGTTTCCATAAAGTATCACTTGATTTCACAGCAGTGCTAGATTGACTGGATAAAAAACATAAGTATTATTATCATGCCCAGGTTGTCAGCAGTGCCACTGCTCACTTACCTCATCTCAAAATGAGAATCAGACACTGAGCAATCATGAGCCTGTTTGGAAATGGTTTAATTACAAAATGCTACATGATAAATAGTTTAATATATCATCTGAAACAAATATGGTTATCCTGATGTTCATTGTTTGACATTTATGATGAGTAAATTCAACTAGAATCATCATAACTATAATAATAGTGTCTGTCATTTTTATTTTCAAACTGAGAACTGGAAGAAAAAAAAGGACGTCAAAGGTCATATAAGGTGTACTGCTACAGCCTGCAGTGTTGTTGAGCCTATGTTACCAAATGTACAGCACTGTGAAAAAATGTTGTTTCTGTCCCCACCCTGTGGCAGCATCTACTGTCTACAATTTATTTTTTATCCACTTACCTTTTCACTTGAGCCATTATACTAAGGAAATTTGTGCCCCAGTATTGGATATTGGCATCTATTCTATTTCTGAGTGTGAGATCCCCTTGCATCTCTGTTCCTCATATTTAAAAAAAAAATAAAAAAAAAAAGAAATATTTTAGAATTGAGAAGTAGGAACATTTTTTTTTAATTTTTATTTTGGCTAAATCTGATTCAAACAACAGACAGATAAAACAGTATCACCACAGTATGACACCTTCTCCTCTTTAGATTCGTTTGTTTTTACTGACTTCCAGCGGGACTAAGAGGGTGCCTCCTTAATTTAGTTTCACGTTTGTTTCAGTTTTTTTACATTCAAAGCAGCAACATTACTAAGAAGATTCAAAGACACACAGATAATCATTGTTTTGTGCAGTGACTGAGATAAAATCACTAATCTGGTTTGCAATTTTTAATTTCCTTCCTGCTCACCTTTGTTTTGAGTGAAGAAAATCAATTGTGTCTCCACATATGACTGCACACTAGAGACAAAGTCTTTAAACAAAGACAAACAGTAAAAGCAGAAAGAGACAGCATCATTAAATTACATTAGTAATTTTGGCATCCAGTGTGAAAGGCTGTACTTTCACACTGGATGCCAAAATAATGTGGTTCCCGCATACCAGATGACAGTTATTTCCAATCTTGAATTGTCCCCTCAGTAGGGTTTAAATCCCATCACATCACTGTTTGTCCTGCTGAGCCTGTAAGTGCCTTTGTGCTGCTCTCAGTGTGTCCTGCAGATCTTTGTACTGGGCCAGATTGCAAGCCTCCTCCAGCCGGGCCCAGCGGTAGTCCTGGTGCTCGTCAGACAAAGTCACTGCTGTCCCTGGGTCTCTCAGCTCAGCCAGCCAGTACAGCACCTCCTTGGGTCTGCCTTGCACCTCATAGTGCAGCTCCTGCACAAAGTCTTCAATCACCTGCAGGTGCTCTGCTCCTAGCCCCGCCTCCTCCTTGGTCTCTCTCAGGGCCGTGGTGAGATCATCCTCACCTGGGTCCACGTGACCTGATGGTGAACAGGTTAAATGCAACAGGTACAAGCAACATTTAATGCCTCTCATATAAAATGTATATGAACAGAACTATAACTATGTGAGAAATGTACTGTTCTTGAACTTGTAAACACCTTTGGGGGGGGTCCAGTGGTGTTTCCCATAAGAGGTCTGCAGGAGGAGGTACTCGATGTTGTCTGGTGGGGGAATACAGCTGGCTAGACGTCGAAACACTATAAAGCCACAAGCTCTCAGCGCCATCTCCCTGTTTAACAATTTTGCACACAAACAAATTTTGCATTATGTTATGTTACAGATTTACAGAAAACAAGACTATATTGTATTGTAAGGAAACGATACTTTTAATACACCATCTATTATATCTAGAGTCAGTTTTTAACTGCTGAAATACAGAGAAATTCACCGTCAAGACAAGTTTCCTAAGGCTTTGAATTCATGCATCTTTTGGTGGAAACATTTAAGAATATTGTTAATTTAACGAGTAATTTTGTGCCCTTTGTTATTAGATTTTTACCAGTTTATATGTTTACATGATGGGGAGGCATACAAAAATGTTCTTCATGATGTTTTGAAAATAACAGGTTATTCAAAACTGTATTTGACAGATTATGTTGACATGTAAACACACAGTCGGTTGTTCAGTTAAAATATGTAAGACCTTACTTGCTTGTGACCAGTGCAAAAAAAGTTCTGACATGATGGGTACATTAAAGGGTCAACTATTTTTAAGAGGATTTTGAAATTATTATTCCTGAAATATCTAGTGGAATCGAGGGTACAGCAAAATAAGATAGACAGTTACTATATGGGACATTAACACCAACCCCTTTTGATTCTAGCATGCAGGCTCTCCAGTTCAAATCCAACATACTGGCGTCATTCAAGCTTTTGTCTTGTGAATTAACGAATCAAAGTCGAGCAGCGAGCCTGAGTCGAGCAGGCAAAAAATAGCAGTTAAGTTTTACAACGCAAGAAGGTCACTATTAAAGGGTCGACCACTGCCAGACTTTTATTATTCTTATCATAGGTATGGTTTCGAACAGATAGAAATGAAATGGCTCCTAAATAATAGTTAGCTCGTTAGCTAGCTTCACTTCTGTGCTTGCACGAACATTAGAGTGACTGAACTTGCTCGGTATGTTATAGTTTCTATCCTTAGTGCGGATGTTTTCTCAGAACATGTTCACTGTTTTATCCTTCGTGCACACAGACTGCCAGTCTGACCAGTACTTAGCTACTAATCCTCAAAAATGTCAGCAACTTACGGTCTTTTCACTGTGACAGTGTTTGACTGGTCTCTGTTTGTTTCACAACGACTGAAATCACAGAGGGGCAGAGCGGTGTACTGAGAAATAGGTCCTGCCAATTTTGAAGACACAACAGTTCCGCTTTGCTAAATTGCAGCAGTATTAGTGGTAGTAAGATTACTAATGAAATATCCCGTAACAAGTGAAACTAAATATTCAGAATTGGCCATATTCAGGTATATTATATTGTAATAATGTATGATTATATTATAGCGATATAATATGATATACTCTTATGTTATATTAATTGAGTATTTATATTATTATTGATTATTGTTTTTATTTTTGTAACGACTTAATAAGGCATTGGGAATATTCATCTGTAATCATTTATTTTTTAAATCAATTGTGTCTTTTGTATGTAAATAGTTACTAATAACTATTGCTGCCCTGCTAATAAATGTGGTGTATTAAAAAGTACAATATTTCCCTCTCAAATGTAGTGGACTAAAGTACTACTTAGGTACAGTGTTTGAGTGAATGTACTCGGTGACCCAGTTACTTGGATGCAACTGCAGATGAAGATGGTGATAAAAATTGGGATAATTTATGGATGCAAAACAGGAGACCCGATGAGAATAAAATGCCCAAATAATAATACTTATATTTTAAATAATTAGGTTTAAATAGAGAGATTCATCCTTTCGGAAACCTCTCCCAACGACAAGTTAAACAAATGCTTTTAGGGAAAAAAAATTCTTTATTCAATCTAATAGCTGTTGTGCTTGTGAGAGTCAGATAAGATATGTACCCAGTGTAAAGACAGCTTGTGTCTGAAGATAATAGAGATGGGCCCCACTTCCCACACAACCCTGGGCTGTCAGCAGTACAGTTCTTCAGCTTGACAGAGGAGACACTGCTGCTGAGTTTCAAGGTAAATTCTTAAATGGGGGGAAAATGTGTTTTGTTATTTTGAGGCAAAAACCAAAAATATATCGAGAGAGGGACAGACAGACAGACAGACAGGCAGGATGGATGCTTAAACATAACACACTTGGAATTGTAGGAAGGAATTGTATGAATTTAACCTTAAGTCCCTAAAGGCTCACTTGAGGGAAATGTATTGCTCTTGCATAAATAATTATGTTGCTGCTCTGTAGCTCCTTCCTTCATATAATGTAGCTGTCTTTGGTTTAGCCAGAGGCTTCAGGGCATGTGACTTTTGCTGCTGCTACTACTACTGTGCTTACTCAGCCTGCACTGAAGTGCTCATTATTCCACTCCGCTATACATGAATCACACTTGGGGTCAGGTTACCCTGCATTCAGATATTTTTGGTAAATACTGTCACTGAGATTTCACATAGAGACGATGCAGAACTGTGGTCTTTAGATGACTGATTCTTTTGTACAATGATGACAGCCAGATCATTGTTTTATGTCATTTTCTTTGGCCCAACTTTCATGTAGGTCATGTAAGACAATCACTGAACACTTGACGTATGCTATGCTTTTCTAAATTTAGGGAAGACACTACAAAAAAATATTTTTAGATATAGACATAATTCCTCTGTTAAACTGTTAATGGATCAGGCTTCCTTTAGTCTTTGACAGCTTTTTAAAACATTTTTTTTTATCCCAATTCTTATTTTAACCTATAAAATTAAACTGATATTAGGGATTAATATTGCAGTACTGAGTGTGTTTGGAGTAGAGCTGATCAGTGCCAAGACATGTCCTTGCTTGGATTCTTGAAGCTGAATGTTCTGGAGGTGTTGTGGACTTAATTTAAGATGACAACTGTGATGGGTGGTGCCAACACAATAATCCCAGTGACAAATCCAAAAGCCACACTTTTCATGTAGTTAAGGTTTCAGTGGGAGTTCTCATAGAGAAATACATTACAGTTGTTTTGCTGCACAGAGGGTGATAGCTGCAACCAGTCTTGTGATTTTGTAATGAAAAAGAACTTGCTCCTTTATGATAAATGCTAAATTGTGATATTTCCAACTTGCCTTCTAAACAGTGTTTCAAAGAGCCATGGAGGGGAAAGAGCAGTCTACAGGAGGGCTTCATTTTGTGGGGAAAAAGGATGAAATGATTGAAGCGAAGCGCTCTTTCAGAACACTGGAGGGTCGGGATATACTGATCATCTACCATCAGGGTGGCTTCTATGCTATGGATTCTTACTGTTATCGTGAGTATAATTCTTCTAGTGTTGAACTCAAAACACCGGCTATTTATAAGAGATAAAAAGTTTGACCATTATGCTTTAGTTTCAAGTCAAATCTCATCATACATGATAAGTATATTACCAGCAATTAAGCTTTATTCAACGATATGTATTTTCATTGGCATCAAGAGTATTGTGGCTGAATGAATACCTTCAGTGAACCACTTCAAAAATAATAGAATAGAAGTCCTGTCATGGTACATTTAACACGGCTGGCTTAAAAATTGTTATCCGTAGGACATTTTAGCACATATCACCCTGAAAGTATGTCCAGTCAGCCAAAACGTTAGTGTGCTGTAAACTGTTTGCTTATTCTACAATACACTGATCCTCTATCTTCCCAACAGATGCTGGGGGAATGCTGCAGAATGGAGACATTGAGGTGAGGTTTACATTTGACTTAAGAGATTAAAGGTTGCTTTTTGTCCGACCCGGAGGAAAGAAGCCAAAATGCCATTGAAGTTAAAGCCCTGCACTGTGCTTTTTTTTTGTTATCCCATTGCTGCTTTCACAGGCTAGTCCATCTGCATTTAAAATCCTTTAAAGTAGCTGCCCAGCTATAAGACCAGAAGGAATACTATAATTATGACATCAAACCTGCATAGCATTAGTATAATCTTATGCAAATATTAAAATGCCAAAGGGTCTAAATGTCCTTCACTTATCATTGTTTACCTACTTTCTTTCAACACACATAGGAAATTGACGGCAAGCTGTGCATAATTTGTCCGAACCACAAGTACAAGCTCTCTCTTGCCAAAGGGGAGTGCATATACAAGGGCACTGACCCCAGGGAAAAGCCGCCTGTGCCCAGATGGTACTCCAAGGGTGTGAAGCAGCGGACCCACATGGTCACTGAGACCAACGGGGAAGTCTATGTCAAGCTCTCTGAGGACACAAGCTGGATCGAATCAGACTACTACCAGGGAGAAAAGGGCAAGGTGGAAAGGGCCAAAGCTGAGGCTGCTGAGAAGAAAACATCTTGATAGTGACACAGATGGATGGAGATGGCATCCCTATAGTCTCCTTTCGACTCCCCTGATCTCCTCTAAATGACTGCATGATGACTGTATGAAGAGGATGTCAGATATTTAATGACATGCACTTAGTGCTCCACTTCAACTAATCAGTTTGGCTTGCATGGCTTTAGAATGGGTCTTCTTCTTTCGAGTTTGGGAGTGTTTAGAATTTTAAATAGCTTTACTTGTGGCTGGTTCGTTGTTTACAGACGTGAAATGTCCTCCTCAAAAGTCAGGTCACATAGTATTTCCATGTTATGTAGATTTTTCTTTCTCAAAACCATCACATAAATAAACTTTTCTTGTGGGTGAATTTTGATTTCTGATTCTCTGTTCTCAAATTGGGCAGTGGAACAAGGTAGCTACATGCCCACACTGGTGTGTCCCTGTGCATTTCAATACTCCTTGTGTATTATGCATACACTGAATGAATCAATAAGATAAAAAGTTTTACTCTGATCAATAATGCCCTAAAGTGGAAAATCATTAATATGAACCACAATAGTGGCCACTTCTTGTAATATGTATATGTCTTCTTATTCCCTCAGATAATATCAGAAAACAAGAATGTCTCGTTGAATAGCAAGCATTTGGGATTTGTGTTGTGACGTGTTTCTTGTCCACTGGAAAGAATTCCCCCAGCGACTGAAAAAAAAAGAAAAAACAAAGAACCTTGCTGAGGACACAGCAAATCCCTGGGGTTGTTAAAAGGTGTGTTGACAGCAGCTTCAAAAAGGTACTGTGGTTGACTGGAAGGCTCTCCAGTCCTGTCCTCATGGCCAGTTTGCTGCACAATAGGTACAGAATTTCAAGGTTTTGTTGTGAACATCCAACAAGTTATTCTGCTTTAAAGGAATAGTCTGACATTTGACATGAAGCTTGAGTTAGCAGCATTAGCTTAGCATGCAGACTGAAAACAGGGGTTACAGGAGTAATTAGAGCTCTTTAGAAGAGCTGGTAGGTAAATTTTGTTTACCTTTGGACCGAGCTTCATATTGAACAGACAGATGAGATGAGATTGGAGTTGATCTTCTCATCTAACTGTTGGCAAGAAAGCAAATAAGTGTATTTCCCAAAATGTGAAACTATTCCTTTAATGTACATGATGTCTCCAGCATCTCTAACCCTGACTTTGTTTAATTTTGCTAAGCTGTGATTTTTAATGTGGCATTGTGATGCTCAAAGTAGTACTCAGGAGATTTAGCACTGCACAGCCATAGAATTGGAGAATGATCTAAATTTGTAAAGCAGCGCCTGAGATATAGTAACTTTTAGTTTTAGTCAGTGTGGGTCAAGCTCTGAAAACGCTGCCTCCTGTAATTCTTGATAATGTCTTCCTGCCTGGAAAAAAACATTGTCTTTAAAACTCCACACTTTTAGTGCATAAAAATTTTAAATTTTCAGTCCAATGCAACAATTAGGGTTATTTCTCAGATATTAGAAAGCTCCCTCCAGAGCCACAGAAAACATTAAACAACTTATTTTTTTTCACAGACTGAGCAGTACTGTTCATGATGAGTGAACTGATGTCCATGTGGAAAATCTTTGTGAGTGGCCTTTTAAAAATGACTACATCCAAACATTTTGTTCAGCCACAGACAAGCTAAATTACCCATGCTAGGGAAAAAAGACACTCATACAATTATTATTATCTCTCTCCTTCTTCACTCAAATTTAACCTCATTTAACAAATCTGTCACACAACTTATATCAATTGCAAAAAATCCAAAGGTGGGGTTGTTTATTTATATCATTTCTTAACCATTTGATGTAAAGGGCCAAGACAGCCTGTCACATTCAGATTATTTATCTGTTTCTGTACCCACAGTGCAGGGTAAAACAGTGACCTGGCACCAGAGCTGAAAATGCCATGGGTTGAGCACACAAGGGCTGGTGAATGATGCTCCTCAGGGCATGAATGATGTTGGTCTCACAACTCACAACACCCTCTGAGGGCCTTGGCCTATGTGACGCTTTTAATACAATCAAGACATGCACAGGGCCCTGGGTTACATGCAACAAGGAGGCTGAGTTACTACACATTAAATATTGAAATATGATTATGTAGTCAAATTGAGAATCTTGATACAAGGCAGAAACCATTATGTGCAGGTGGTCATTTGCAGGAGGTCAAGTAGAGGGCTCTTTGTCAAGATAAAGAGCAAGCTGTCTGGGGAAACTGCTTAGCACAGCTAGTGTCTTATTCCAGTCTGCACTGCATGTAAGCAGCATGGATTTACAGTGTTGCAGGGCATTCAGACCCAGGGCCTAAACACTCTATTGGTTTTAAGTTTATGCATTATTCATTGAGGCTGTGAATGACACAAGAGGCTTTAAGGCTCAGGCTATTCTTCCTCTCAAAAAGCCTGGAATAATGGGAATGTAGTTTGTCCAAGAGGAAACTACAGATCTCATTATCACCTTTTATCACGGACAGATTCCCTCAACAAAACACAAACAAAGCCAGTTAAAATACTGTATATTTTCAAGCTATAGCCTATCATTTACACCTCTCCCCACAGTTATGCCACTTGGCAGTCCCTGCTGCGTTTATTCATGTGTCGGAATTTAGTGCCTGTCTTTGAGATTCATGGACAAGAGACTGGAAGTTAATGGCACACATGAGCTTTGTGTTGCCCTCACAACAACGTATTAAAGTATGTTTGGGTGAGCAGGACAACACCGTCATGTCCAGCACGGTCGACAGCATGGTCCTAGTGAGAGTGTTTGTGTGCATTGGCACGCGCATAGGCTACTGCCTCTACGTGTGTATGCCCGCGTGCGTGTTGCTGAGTCAGGCGCGACCACTCTCGGTTCAGCCCGTTGCTCTCTCTCTCTCTCTCTCTCTCTCTCTCTCTCTCTCTCTCTCTCTCTCTTCTCTCTCTCTCTCTCTGTCCAGCTCTTTGCCAGTGAGACTTTGTTTTATCCGCCGACGTCATTCATACGGTCTGGACACCGAGGCGCGAGGCTGCCCTCTCCTCGTCGTTAATTGCGTTTCCTACCGACTAACAACTTGTTTGTCTGTTAGCGCATTGGCTGCCCATGGGCGCTGCTGTTTACACACGGTGCTGCTCCGCCGCCTGGGCTGTCCGGTGCGCCTCTGCGGTCGGTTCGGGACGGTATTGGGCTCCGCTTTTATGAATGAATAACGAAATGCGAGTGACTGCGAAACTCCCGAGCAGCCGGGCTCCCGGGGGGCTAGCCACTGATGAGAGGGATTAACGACGGAGCGGAGCCGCGGCTCATTGCGGAAAAGCCGAGTCTGACTGCAGGCTGGCGAGGAAACGCACCGTGAGGGAAACGGGCTCCATAGCATAGAGCAGCGGAACAAAACCGCGGTTACCACAATGTAAGTTTCACTGAAGCTGCAACTCATTAAGGGATGTAGGAAGAAGGGGTCCCTGGTATGGGTGCATGCTTTATTTTTGTCAATGCTTCATAAATATCAAAGCAATACCGAGATAATTGCTCAAAGTGTCTGATTTATTGAACCATAATACCCACTCAGGTGTAAGAAAGGCCTTGGCAAGCTTCTTCTCAGTCATTTTCAGTGACATAACAGTGATGCACCGTCTCCGTGATACCCATGAATAATAAGGACCAGAGCCAGGAGAGGTGCCTTCTTTCCATCGTGGATCAGCATCTCCCTGTGTGATGCCTCCTTTCACTCTCAACCTCGAGTTGTCTGGCTTGCAGGTCCATCCACATCGTGGCTCTGGGCAGCGAGTGCCCCGGTGGAGTCGGGCCCGGGGAGGAGATCATGGGCCAGGGGCAGCTGCAGGGAGGCCTGCTGTGGAGTTACCTGGGTCACGGAGCGTTGGTGGGACCCTGCGACCTGGAGAGCAGCCTGCACAACCCGGCCTTCATGGAGTACACCTCACGTGTGTTTGGAGATGTCACTGTTGTGGTTCGGGACTGTCCCAGCTGGGTAAGAGACTGGTGGTGTGTTTGTTTGCAGGGCAGCATGAGAAAAGCAGAGAGCTGCATGGGTTGGTACAGTAACCTATCAATCTTTGCTTTGACATATTTGCTCATTCATGTGTCCATCCCTAATATACATATTAAAGTAATTTTGGTGTTGCTTTGGCTCTTACCCCTACACCTTCCTGCTTGTGTCATACCAAATCAGACTTGCAGATTTGCAGAGGAAGGCAGGCCAATATGGCAAAACAAGCCATAAGAAAGTGGTGTAATTTTGTCCATTGTGAAAGGGTGTACATCACTTAACTGATATGCTGTTTACTTTTCATTCTGCTTCTGTTTCTCAGAAGATGTAAAACATTTAAAATTCCAAGGCCACTTGCCTTCCAGCGCTGATTGCAGGGTTTATAAAAATGGCTCTATTCTTAGGAGGACGCTATTTTAACATGCACTGCAAAAAAAAAAAACTGATGAAAGAACTTTTGTTCTTAATAGCATATGAATTTGAAATGAAAGCACTGTTGTGATTTTGTAGCAGCATTGTATGCGTCCTATTATGGGGGCTCTCTAACCCTGTCAGGGCTGGTGCTGGGGAAAGTCTGTCAGTCTAATTCTATGTCTCTTTATTCAAATTGCTCAAAGCTTTCTGAAGTGTTTTTTTTTCTGCCTAATGAGTTGAATCAGGTTGGTTTAGATCCGCTACCCTCACGCAGGTCCTTGGGGGTAAAGTCCCAAGAGCAAGACTGAGGTATTTATACATAGGGAGACCCAGAGGGAAAGGGTTAGGGTTAGATGAGGTGAGTTTCATGGTACAGATTGGCTATGCACACAATTCTGTTTATTGCATTTCTCATGTCTGTCGTCTTCTGACATGTTACTATTTATATTTGTTGTTCCTTTCTTCTCTTTCCAGGACTTGTTGGACAGTGACTGGGCCAGTGTGCGGAAAGTTCTTGAGCAGGCAGACATCCTGGTCATTAAATATTCAGTCACTGACAAGCTGGCCTTCCAGCAGGTCAGGAACGGCTACGCCCCGAGACTCCGCCCGCTCCTGAGGCATTGGGGTGTACCTGTCATCCTAGTTGCTGTTGGAGCACGGCTGAATGGTGAGGATTCTTTTGTTCTGTGTTTCTTTTTTCAGAGCCAAAGTGAGTTTAGTTCTGCAAACAGCGCCTTGACAACTGATGGCTCCTCTAACTCCTCCTCTTTGTCATTTTGTTCATGAACAATGTTTGAGTTTGAGAGGAAGCAAATAGAAAATGTCTTCATCTTTCACCAATTCAACTTGATATCCTGGTGTCTTAAGGTTAATTTACAGTTGTGTCAGTTGTTGATTTTGATTTTTGGGACAATATCATCTTCTTCTCGTCGAGCCAGTGAGATCACTGCCTCTGCCTCGTGTCCTCTACTGCGTCCTCCGAGCAATGAGGAGGATGCTCATGATTAAATATCCTCTTGGCTCTCTTCAGGCTGTCGGTACACATGCTTTGCTGCAGGAAACACACCATAGCAAGACATTCAATTTATACTTTTTGCCCATTAGAAGCCTTACAAGCAGATCAGCTCACAAAGCATTTGAATGTGCACTGCCGTGGCTCAAAACTGCACCACAACAGCAGTCACCTGGGTCTAGCCTTACTGTAGGCAGCTTAACACATTAGGCTTTAACATACATATTTATCTACACTTTAGTGAGTTTGCATGCGTTTTTGCAAACACACTGACCCTTGTCAAATCCAGACTCTGTAAACAAGCCCATCAAACGCACTAGACTGTATTTTTAGCTTATCTGCTCAACATACTTTGAGATCCTGTCAGAGCTTCACTGCAGAATGATCACAGTGCAAGTCAACTCTTTGCTGGGAGAGATAGATGGAGTGGGAGGGAGCGGGTAGCTGTAGACCGGAGCCTTTGTTTGTGTTTTTGTTTGTGGCTGCCGTGCGTATTTTCATGCTATCCCCTCATGACTGCAGAGAATGACGGCTGAGCTCTGAGCACTTCCTGCTGCTCGACTTTAGACCACCTTAGGCACAGCTGTGGCAGAGAGAGCGCTGCCGTACGTGCATTAACGCACCCATTAAACCAGCGCTGAACGCAGGAGCACAGACAGATTTATCCAAGGGCACGCACACACGCACCCTCACGCACACAAACATACCACTGATATGCCAAGTCACCGCCTGTCAGACGCTCACACACACTCTTCTTTTCCTTCTGCCTCTCACACACACACTCGGTCTCGCTCTCTCTCTGTGTGTCATGCCTGTAGGTTATTAGCAGTATGATTTATCAAATGCCTCAGCACTTAGCTGTATGTCCTGCTCATTCCCCCGTTCTCTCTGGCTCTCTCCTCCTGTGTGTAGTCTTTCTGTAGTCTTTTTTTCTTCTTCAAGCTAATCCCTCTAATTTTCTGTCTGATTCTGTCGCTTTTGTCCCTTAGCACACATGCCACAGTATGGCTGGTCCTAGTGTACGCGCCACTGCAGATTTTACACATTTAGGAGATCTTATTCTCATGTTATTGTATAGGAATTCTTCGTTTTTTCTCAAAACTTATTGGAAAAAAAACGATGGCTTGAAAGTACCAAAGCAACATCATCATCTCAGGAACCAATATAGGCAAACACAAGAGAACAGGAAATAACAATATATTAATTATTGGATGTCCACTCTGAGAAGTTAGGAAGTAGGGCAGGTCTGCACCATAAAACCACATATGGCTGTGGCATCTGGTTTGTATATTCTGTTTTTGCAAAATATGTTTTTCTGTTTTAATTTGGTTTCTGAAATGTTGCGTTTTTCATTTAACAACAAAATGCTTCACCAAAAATCAGGAATTACATACAACAAATGCAAGTGGCAGACCCCTCATATCTTTAAGATTTGCTTTTGGGCTTATATGGCAGTTCATTTCTTGTTTTAGTTTTCTATATTTAACAAATAGATTTATGGATTTGATATCATAGTCTAACATGGGACAAGCATTTCCTGCATCAGCTGATCAAATTATACCAGGTTCATACATCCTAAAAATCTCCTATCAATGACTCATGACTTCTCATATTAAGTCTTTTTTAGATTCAGTTGTGTGTACAGTTTGAATGATTTCATCTTACAGTTAAATTCACTTCTCCCTGTCTTCAGATGAGGGCCCTCCCTGTACGTGTCCATTGTGTGCGTCTGACTGGAGCAGCTGTGTGCCTCACAGTGAAGGTCTGCAGCTGTCCCGGGACCTGGGGGCCACCTACCTGGAATTGCCTTCTCTCAACCACGTCTTTGTTGGACGCTACTTTGGCAGCGTGGTACGTGATGACGCCACACCGGAATCACAGGATCTAAATAGGAATTTAACGACAACAGTGGAGTCACATCAGTCACCTCATACACTTTTTAACTGCTGTGGTTGAATAAGCACAGACGTATATGGTCGGTGATGCTGAGTGAGTTTTTGAGCATTCTTATTTTCAGAAAAAAAACAAAACAATTTTCCACACATGTTTTCAACACAACGAGCAGCAGTGACAGCAGCAGCTCCTCCTGTCTGTTCAACTCCATCAACATTTTCAGATCTGGTCTTTGAGTAGAGGAGACAGGGACAAGTAGCCACAATGGTCTTCTGAGGAAGTTGTTTCCAAAGCAAAGAATTGATGATGTAACATCTCTATTTTTGTACCCTGTGTTTGAACTAATGTGTGTATTTCTGTATTGTTCAGCTGGAGTACTTCATGATTCAGTGTCTGAAACACAAAGCCAAAGAGAGGCCAGAGAAGAGGCGAGGGAATAAAGTGAATGAGCTTCGTCCCCCACACTTAGAACAACCAGGTCAGTGGAGTACTATGGTATCTAAATACTAACATTGCTAATGTTATATTGAACAGCATTTATTCTATTTTGGTCCTATTGTGTTCTATAGACAGGCAGGTTAATCAAGCAAGTTTTTCAGAAGAATTTAAATCAATTATTTAAATGTTATTAATGATAATTATTGTTTTTATTACATTGTTTAAGTTTTGATTTCATTAAAATATTATCGTTGCTAAATTGGCTTTTTTATGGTGCATAGAGAACATTCAGACTGACGGGATTGTTTCTTCTCGAGCTCACAGAGCCATAAAAAGAGCTGAGCACAAAGGTTTTATCCAGATCAATATTCTCTGTTCCAAACTGGAAATAAGACGAGAGACAAAGAGCAAGGTAGACTACTTTTATCCACTGATGTTTGAATCAATTTTAGCTCTTTTCAACACCAGATGCAGCAACAACTGAGTGTTTAGTGCCTAGAGCACAATCACCATAGTGATTGTTTTTGTGGGATAGGAGAGGATTACTCATTAACCTTATCCTTAACTAAATTTTCTTAATCAGTTTACGTATCTGACCTGGGCACTACAAAATCACTTATCCAGCCAGATCCAGACCTAATTCAGTTCTTTTTTATTATGTGGTCTAAATTTTGCACCATGGTTTGGGCAGGTGTCTGCATCATTCTGTGTCCGAGGGCTACCTGCTTGATCCTGCCAGTAGCATATGTCTGTGTCAAAGATAAAGCCATGCAAGTCTAAGTACACACAGAGGAACACTACAGAGGAACTGTGAATGGCTGATTAAATCAGTTCAGTTTTGAATGACTGACACTGAATGTTTGTCTCTCAGTTTTGGAAATTTAGGTCTGAAACTAACAATTATTTTCATTATCAGTTAATCAGTCAATTGTTTTAACGTCTAAACAATTAATATTAAGGAAACTTTGATGGGCTGGTAACATCTGCATATTGTTTCGCCTGACTGATGAACAGTTCAATACCCAAGGACACTCAGTTAATTGTAAGTGAAAGAAAACTGACAAATTCTCAATTCTTTGCTATTTGACAAGCTGGAACCAGAGATTGGCATTTTGCAAAATAATTAATTATCGACTAATTATTTAAGATCTAATTTAGTCTTAATCCTTTTACTTGAAGTTCAGGATTTCAGATTAAATTTTAATTAAGACTCAAAAAAAGCCACACAAAAATCAAAAGGTTTTAGTTTGTCAGCAGCAACAGCGGGACACTTGCAGATCTATTGCAGACTCACTCAAACTGCCTTTAAGCCAGTCAGTGTCCGCTAACACAAAAGGCTAATTATGAGGAGAAATAAATGACCATGCCTGTCATGATCAAAAGAGGCGAGAACTGACAGAGCCACAAACATACATACGCAGCTTCCAGCTGAGACCCAGCAAAATTGATTAACGTAACAAAGCTTAAAGAAAACAAAGCAAGCCAAGCTGGAGTGCTGTGTGGCAGACCAGACTGATGCTGCTTCTCCTTTGTTTTAATGTTTGACCTTTTTAGACGGTGGCACTCTTTCTCCTAATTGGCTAAAGGACGGTCTGATTAAATCTGCAGCTGACTGCCTTTCCTAACTGCCGGATGTTGCCACAAACTGAAAGCTCTCTGTGTGTTGAATTTCAAATGATATCATTAAAAAATGAATTTGGCTTGAATCACAACCCCCACACCACAGATAGACCCAGCAGTCTTTATTTTGAAGGATGGTGTCCACTGCTTCTATAAGGGATGCTGAATTCACAGCTACACTCCTGTCTCCTGTCTTTACAACTACTGCTACTACTACTGACATTTCAGTGTGACATTTTTCCGTGCACAGTTTACATTTTTAGAAATAAAACAGCTGGGAATATTTAACACAAATAACACTGTCAAACTAGTGTTAAATATTGATCTGACCATATTGCTGCTCTGTGTGTTTAAACCTGATGCAGTGACTGACAGTTTCATGACCTGCCAAAAAACTGTTGGTGCCTGTCCAACACTGCTTACGTCTACTTATGGTGTGGGTTGCATTAAATATGATGAGCACTGATTCAGGAACACAACTGTTTTCACAGCCAGATCTGAGAGGCCATGAAAAAGGAGATGAGGTCCACAGCAGAGCCAATATTAAGCATGAATATGAATATAATAAGACAATGATTTGTCCCCCAACCACAGGTTTTCCCATTTGTAGTTTTTTCACCACAGTATTTTTATTGTATTCACTGTTTTCATGGTTACACTCATTTCTCTGCAAATCATTTCTCTGTAACGGTTGTCTATCCAGGGTTTTTCTACATCTTTAAACATTAACCTTATTTAAAACAAGCTTTTGGACTTCCTTTTGGATTCTGGGATAATTTTGTTGCTTGCTGGTGTATTTTTATCAACAAAATCATCTAAAAGATAACCGCTAAATGTCAATGTTTGGTGTCAGTTCCTCGAGAGGACAAATCCTCTGTAGAACAGAAAGACATTGAGATTTCTGTTTTTCTAAAGTAGACCAGAATCCAGTGCAGTAGTGTCAGCTTGCATCTTTGCAGGTCTGTCATTAGTGCAAAGACAAACATATCTGGAAGCGTTTTTTCTAACTTGAGTAACAGGGCAGGGCACAACATGACATTGGCCACTCTCTGCTCTTTCCTCTTGACTAAAAGGTCTCACTACACTATTGCTTTCAAATTCACTCTCTCCACATACCCATATACACCCCATTTCTCTGAGTTTTCAAAACTCATTGTCAAAAAAAGGGGAAATGACTAGTAGAAGTAGACATGGTAGATTAAGGAAATATGAGTACACACTGCAAGTGTAAATCAAAAGACACCTGGGGTGCTCTGTATATACCAAATTTGATGGATTTTCCTTTAGGGAACAAGCTGAATTTCAGCAGTAAGTGTTCATTAACTCAACTCATCCTCCCTATCTTTCCCTCTCTCTTTTTCACCCTCTGTGCTATCTCTTCCTCCCACCATTCAGCTCGTCTTCCCCCCATCCGTGTGGAGGAGTCCAGCTTCTCCCAAGACATGCAGTGGTTGTTGGAGCGTGGTGTGCAGTTCGCCGATGTGGCTTTCTATGCCGGGGATTCTGGGAAAGAACTGGGGTGGGCGCATGCGGCTGTGCTGTGTGCGGTCAGCCCGTACTTCAGACAGCTGCTCCTGGGGCCCAAGACCAGGTAGGAAAGATATTAGCACATTCACGAGATGGAGCTTAATAAGCTATTTCACCACCTGAGCCTGTAGCCCTCAGGAGCTAAACCCTTCCTGTAAACTCCTCCTTAGTGTAACTGTGAAGCACTTTGTGCTGAATTTCATCTCTGGTTGGACAGGGAACGTCCACAGTCACGGTGTGTTTGCAGAGAGCGGGACGCAGGCCCCCATTCGTTGCTGTCCACCTGGGATGGGGGCATTATTGATGACATGCCACGATCAGAGGGGCACCTGACAGGACGACTCTCCCGTCTGGTTGTGAAGGACCCGCTTCTGTGTATGTGCTTGTGGGAGACTCTCATGTTTATTTACAGAGGTAAAAACCACCAGTCAAACACAGCACACCCAGATACAGCTGAGAAAACCAACATCTTAAATCTGCTGTGGTGTCTTTTGCAGAATATTTCAAATAAATAAATAATTTCCATTTAATCTTTTTAACGCCCACTGTTCTACTTGTGAGATGCAAGCACTATGTAGAACTTTCCCTGACAGTTTGTATTATGAAACGTTAGACTTACACAAGTATGAACCTTTCATATGCTGATTATTTTCTCACTTAATTAGTTAATTAAAATATGTTTGGAAGCAGTGATAAATGTCACACAATCCCTCAAATATAACAATACAAAACCCAAAGATATTCAATTTACTATCATAGACGACTGTACTTAGGAACAGCTGTGCTTTGAGTTAATTGTCAACGCCGGCATGCTAACATGCTCAGACTTTCAATGTAAATATGTTGATGTTTAGCAAGTATAATTTTTACCATGTCCACCATCTTAGTTTAACAAAATTTACTACTCAACATTACACACAACTACAGCTGAGACTGATGGGAATGTCATTAGTTTTGGACAAATTTAAATTTTGACCTGAAGGTGAAAAGTCAGGTCCGATGTCAGTTATCAGTTGGATTCATACAAAATTTCATGACTGTTGAGACATTTCAGTCTGGGCCACAGGCCATTTTTACTGATTTATTTACTGTTGATCAACTAATCAGTTAATAACCAATGTGTCAGCTCTGTAAAAAAATAAGAAGGGGAAAATATGGCGTCTCCAGCTGTTTAAGTGAGTGTCATTAAATTATTTCTGCATTAAAAGTTGCATTAACCTAAATCACAATGACAGGACAGACGAGCATCCCATCCCCACTGATTCAAACCCTGTGATTCCTCCAGAATGAAGTTGCCCAAAATGACATCCTGGCATCAGGATCAGTTGCATAGGAAGTGCCAAATAGAAAGTGGGGATCAGATTACAAAAGCATCAGCCAACATGCATTTCATCCAGAGAAATCTGGAATCAGCAAGGGTGGCTCAACAAAAAAAGAAAAAATCAGTTTCCTGCTACTAAACACTAGACAGTGCTCAGTGTATTAACCAATTTTACTATTTGCTATTTGTGATGTATGAATCAGAGATATTTGAATATTTGCAGGTGTTTAGTGTTGATTATTTCTGTGTTGCTAAATGCTGGTGTTTCACTTGGACATTTTAAATAAGTTTAAATAGAGCCAGAATGACATCCACAGCATGGGAACTCCATTCCAGTTTTACATTCAGTTACTCTTTTTCCAATAATTTAGATGTGATGATTAATGTCCCCTGGCAGCAGAAGGCAGTTTGCCTGCTACTGGGTCTTGTCCAATATTCCATTACGCTGAGGAACAGAAATCAGTCAGATTGAAAGTGCCTGATCGTAAGCAACTGTAGTATTTTAATCTAGGACCTGATCATTCATCGTGTAATAGTGTGATCCCACACTGCTTTCTTAACCCACATTTGTACTTGGATGCCTTGGAGCACTCATGTTTCCTTTATCTCCAGCCAGCTTAGTTCTATTAAACATTATGGACATCAGTGCACTGAGTGACGTCTCTGCAGAAATTGAACTTCCATCAGTTTGACTGCTATTGGGATTAGTTGATAGAAATCTGGCTCCATAGCCTGTTATAGCAGCCTCATATTTACATCAACAAGTGATGAATTCTGTGATGAAACTGTCATGTAAAATTAATAATACTATATATTAACCTTGCTTAACAAGGATACACACGTATGCAGGCATAAACTGTACAGCCAGAACATTTGCAGACATTATATACTGTGGGAATTGTATCCAAAATGTTCCCCAGTCGTGTATGAAGCCTAGATAAACAGGCATGTGATATTCTCTGTGACTTTGGTGCTGTAATGAAAATCTTCTCAGTCTGCGGCTTATAGTCTGCAGTGCTGTGCTTGCTGCATGTTGGATCACAGGGCCAGTGCATGCCAGCAGGCTGCATGTTGTGCAGGATTCCTTATGGCAAAAAGCTGCGCTAACATCTGATTCATGGCTGCCTTTTAGCATGTATGTGAGCAGCACTGATGGTCTGAATGAACACACGTCTGCGTGCGCACACGCACACACACACACACACACACACACACACACACACACACACACACACACACACACACACACACACACACAAACACTAGAGGCAGACACACAGACATATTCGCTGAGTGTGTTTTGTGTATGTGTGCTTGTGAAGGCTGAGCGGAGAAGGGAAGAAGATTATAGGGTTAGACTGAGTCTGTGTGAGTAACTGTATGAATAAGAATAAGAAAAGAAGCAGTTGAAAGATGGAGAGAACAGCATGTATTTTCACGCATGCATGTAAGTCCTTGTGTGGATTTTTTTGAGTATGCGAAAAGGAAGATGGGAAAGTGAGGAGTGGAAAATTCTGAGAAGGGTAAAACAGAAAAAAAAAGAAGAAAAAAAAAAACGAGGTGGTGGGACGTGAAGGTGTGAGAGGGGGTGGAGTGTAAGGTGCTGATTTTTCTGCATTTCTGTGTGATAACTTGATGGTGAGAGAGTGTTCGGGTGGTGGGAGAGCTGGGCACTAGAGCATACTGTTAATGTGTGGTTGTGGTTTGGAGGGAATAGCATGTGCTGAGGAGAATACGAATGTCACGTTTCCATAAAGCACTGCAGGGAGACAGCATTAAGTCTTGTGTGAAAAATGACTAACGTTAACCTTCAACATGGGGGGTCTGATTGTATGTTAAAAGCAGCTGACCTCATATCAAGTGTGTGTGCGTTTCTGTATTAGTGTTCGTTTTTAATTGGCTAATCAGACATGAATGTGTGTCTTCTTTTCCCACAGAAACATTGAGAGCACATTCTGCCAATGTTCATTTGCAGTAAATCCACAACATGCCGTACTTTGCTTTGCTAGAGACAGGACAAATATCTTCTGCTCGCAATTCACTTCAACTCATTTGTTGATTGTAGCTTATTTTATTGACTCAGCAGAAGAAATTTCCATAACAATATCATGTCTCTCTAAACACAGCGTCACACTGGTGCTGTTATTTCATGCTTGGGGTTTTTGTCACTTGAGTTTGTGTGTGGACAGTCGCAGAGGCCGTGACTTGTGCTTGTGTGATGTTAACACTGTGAGACTCTGTCTCCTTTTGTAGAATCCTACTGAATTATTGAATTTGTCACTGGGTTGCCATTGTGTGTGTGTGTGTGTGCACGTTTAGCACAAGTATCACATGTATATGACACCGATGAATCATTGTGTGTGTATGGTCATTGAGGCCTTATTTGGGGTCACATTGTCGACCACACACTAGTTGTTTTTTGGGACATGTCTCAGTGGGGGAAATTGGTTGTAATTTAGTTTCCTTCAGTTGAATTTAGCACAAACCTCACTGGTTTTTGTCTTTGTTGGGGTTTGGTTTAAATTAGGTGAGATTTAGAGTCAGGAATGTAGCAGTTATGGATGAGATTAAGGAAAACCTTTGGGGAATGAGTGTTAATCTGTGCTAAGTGTTTGAGTTTGTCTGTGTGTTTGTGTAAATGGGTGAGAGGAAACACATCAACATGGAAACTTACTATATTTGTGATATTATGTAGAGGCAGCTTTTTGCATAGATATTTTGTGCTATTTGTTTTCCTTCCATTGCACCTATGAAAACATCCACCAGCCCATCCAGTGCTGTTTTGTAGTGTCTGGCTGCATCATGTCAGCACCGCAGCTCCTGAGCTAATCTCTCACCTGCCTATGAGGTGTCTGCACCGTGCAGTGTCATTATCCTGGACAGTGTGTCGAGGTAATCCCTCTATCACACCGAAATACCGTCATTATGAACTAATGATGAGCTAAATCCTGTCCAGTCCAGCTCCCTTCTTCCCTCGACAGTCTGTTTATGTCCCAGTGAGACAGAGTGCGTCACCCCAATCAGGCTGCCGGGCTGTGCAGGCTTTAGAAAGGAGTATGCCACTGAAATGCAGCGCAGATGTTTTCAAATGAAAGTTTGCTTTATCATGTCTGTGTTTAAATAGCTTCACAAGTTTAGCTTACTTCAGCTAGTCATGGAGTCTTTATACTTCACATCCTTTTTGATGACATTAACTCAGTATATAGCACAACCCAGATTTCTATTTCCCTGTTTGTTTACTGTATATCAATAATTTAAAGCCATGCTAGCCGCGTGGTTTTAGGGACAGCAATGTCAGTCTGTCAATTGGTCATTTGACCAGTTTGGCCCAGAATCCAACTCCAACTCCAACCATTGGATGGATTGCCTTGAGTCTTACTGACCTTAGTAATCCCCTGACCTCTAATGCCACGTGAGGCTCATATTTGTGGTTTTTAGTGAAATGTCTCAACAACGGTTGAGTTGTATTAACTTCAGTGTTTCCTTACCTTTTTTACTTTATGCATCATAAGGTCAAAATTTCATTTTGTGCAATACTTTGGTTTTTGACCAAAAATCTGTAAAACTAATGACATTCCCATCAACCTTAGTTGCACTCTGTGTTTAGTGCTAATTATCAAATATTATTAGCATGCTAACACACTAAACTAAAATGGCGAACGTGGTATACAAAAATGTTTAAAATACAGTAGTTAACTTTTTCAGCTTTAGCCAGAAAAATTGGTCTATACTGTAATGTGACTGGATGAGAAACAACTAACAAGCAGACTTTATTTCTATTTAATTACACATATTGTGCATGTGAATTGTGAAAATAGGATGAAAGCTTTATATGTCTTTACACTGTTTGTTTAAAATTTGTTTTTTGTTTTTTTTTAGTAGCAAGCAACCAACTGGAAAAAATAAAAAATCAAATTAAAGTAAAATCAAATTAGAAAAAAAAAACAGACTCATGAAGGTAACTTGTTTGTTTTGCCTTTTGGTCACTGTTTCTTATCAAAAGAATCTGGACCGGGTGTCCCATCCATAACCACAACGCATTATATAAGCAGACAGATTTTAGAACAAGCCAGCTTAGTCAAAAACAGGCCCTGAGTATTCGGTGTAAGGTGCGTAGGTGGTCAGAGCAAGATGCCAACGAGAATAGAGTTTGCCTCTGTGTTTCTGCAAACTGTACTATTGTGGGTCCATACAGTCAGTTTGTTTATGGATGTTTTGTAGGAGCATGGGAGTGGGAGCACCTCCAGGAGGCCCTGGAAGAGAAGCTGAAGAACTCTCTGGCTGTTGCTCAGCTTATGGAGCGCATACGATCGCTCATCGGGAGAGAAAGGGTGAGGTCTTAAATTTTGAAATCACCTCTCCTCTCTTCCTTTAATACGCACAAATTTCATATAAAACCTTGTTTGAGTTTGGGAAATCTTATGTTGTGTGTGCTATAACAGCCCTCTCCAACAAAAGAGGTTAAATATCTGTAATGTGTCAAACTTGTTCTTTGAAGATATAAACACATGTTTTTATGGTTGAAGTCTAACAGAACCTTAATTAACAAGACCTTGTTTAGAAAGAGCGCAGTAATAATGTGGCTATAATTAGCATATTTACATAATTAGTGCCCATAATCACCTCTCAGACACTGGGAATTAGCACAAAATAAACAAGAGATGCTCTCAAAGGAGCAAAATCACAACTCACGATCTTTAAGGAGTTCACAGTGGACATCTGCCATGAAATCCTACATTATGTTAAGAAGTTCAGCGTCACATCTGGAATGTCTTGTCGTAAAACATAAGCTGGCTCTGTGTAATAGGCAGCAGACTTGAACACTTAGAGAGACATCAGGAGATATGACATGGCTGCGTCTGACAAGCCTTTGGCACCAAGTATGGTGGACCAACCCATCTGGATAGAACTAGGTCTTCTACCTGAGGCGGCGCACCAAGACACGGCAAGGCCACTTTAACGTGATGAGACACCCTAATGTCCTGTCATGATTTGATCTCATCCTCTATAAACACCTTCAGGACATCTCACTCTGTGAAATTTACTTTTTCATGAGCTTTCTGTTGTTTTACAAAATAGAAGCAGCTTGATTCTGTTGCTGTCTCTACTGTTTGCTGAACTCTGAGAATATGGAGTTCTTTGTGTGCTTCACTTGACTGAGAAAGGTCACATGTTAATGGGATGCTTTGACGACACTCATTTGTGGACTTAACAAAACCACATGTGCACGTACACTCTAAAAAGACACACTGACAGCCTTTCTTCGACTACTGACTTCACCTGCTGTACAGTGCTGTCAACTGTATTTACATATATTGTACTATGCACCCTTTACATGGCTTAAAATGAGAAGTAATGTGTTAATAAATGCACTGTTGGGCTGACTGTCAGGTTCTCAGTCTGTTCTCAGTGTTAGCCAGTTCCATCATGTCGTTCTTGGCATTGCAGTTCAAGTATGTTTGGGTAGCGCTAAGCAAGACTGGCAGAGAGGCCATTTGTATTCCACAGGGGAGGTGGTATTGATGCACAGAATTGCAAGTGAGCTGGTAACTGGTACCTGACATCCTGCAGAGGAATGTTAACTCCCTGTCTGTTTCTTTTGGCTTCCTCTCCTCAATTTCTGTGTGTGTGTGTGTGTGTGTGTGTGTGTGTGTGTGTGTGTGTGTGTGTGTGTGTGTGTGTGTGTGTGTGTGTGTGCAGGGCCCCAGGGATACCCCGAGTGCGCGGGCAGCTCAGCTCGGCCCCCAGACTCTTGTCAACCTCTTCAATTCTCCCCTTTACTCAGATGTCATCTTCATGGTGCAAGGTGGGTTCATGCTGATCTGTTAGAGGCACACACGCTTACAAATGCATGCACTGTCACACAGCAGAGACAAGTGACTTTTTATTAGCCGTGATTGAATTATGATCTTGGTCCCGGGCCTGGTCATCCATTTGGAGACGAAATAAGATAAAATGGTCCGAGCGACGGGCTCCCTTCCGTTCCTATCATGTTTCATCTCACCAAAAGCTTTTCCATGAGCTGCACTTGTATTAAACGATCAAACTGTGAAATATAGAAATAATGGCCAGAAGCCTCTCCTAATCAATATATATCTCATAAAAAGTGAGCTTTTCTCGTCTTTGCACCTCGGGGGCTGCGAGCTCAACTCTTGGAGGTCACAGAGGAAATTTCTAAAAGAATATTTAGTGCATTTCTGATCTGTTTTTTCAATCTTGACTTTCTGATGGAGTGTGGTGAGAGCTGTCACTGGCTGTTCATGGCGATTAATGACAGCGATTATAACAGGACTCGTGTCCGCGATTTACATGTCATTTGTTTCGTGTTATTTAATGGCCCATTATGAGAGATCATCACTTGAATTAGATTTGGTCTCTATTCTTCTGTGATCATTCCAAAGAGACAAATTAGTGATATTAGGAGTGTTTGATTAAAGTCAAAGCCAAAGGTACATTCTGTTACCACCATTCAAGAATCAATATATTAATTATGAACTGTTTATAGTCTCTGGCAGTGCACTTCTTTGGGACTTTTCCAGACACTGCTAAGACATTCTAAACCTAGATGTTAATTTTGCATGTGTGTGTTCTAGGCAGCGTATTGCCAGCCCACCGGGCGGTGCTGGTGGCACGCTGTGACGTCATGGCGGCAATGTTCAGCGGAAAGTATGCAGAGGCCCGGAGCCGAGTGGTGCCCATCCACGGAGTCTCCTCAGATACCTTCCTGTCTTTCCTTGAGTACCTCTACACTGACTCCTGCTGTCCTGGTGAGTTTACTGCACACAACAAAGACATGTACACAACTACACCACTGTGGCCACTGCTGTGTACAATAAGATTAATGACTAAATGGCTGCTATGACTGCAAACACATCTCCAACAGAAGGTCCTAAATATAGTAATAGACAGCCCCCCGGTCCTCTTTATCTTGTGGACTAATTAAACCCTGTAGCAGATTTTGTATTATGGTGAGATTGATTGCACTCAGTGTGTTATTCATTCACCCGCCTATAACTATACCCTCAGGCTGTTCCTGTAAATAAAAATAGTTTCCTTAGTTAAATAAGGGGGAAAAGCTAGAGATAGAAGCTTAGTTGAGATGAAAGTCACTTTATACGCCATGGATCTGACCAACAAAATGACACTTGTTTATAGAAGTACAATGGACCTTTGATGTAATTTTAAAGTATCCAAATCAGAAAACACTTGAGTGGTACAGTAGTGTTTTCCTATAGACCTTGCTACTAAACAAAAGCGCAGATGACACGTCCCATCAACCATCTGTGTGACTGCGACATGCTGCCAGTGTCAGTCTCAGGAGGCGCGTGGAGAACAGCACTGAGCTTAAAATTAAATTAGATTTAGTGATGGCAAAATCAACCCGTGGCATCACTGCTTCATCTGCTTTTAATGGTGCCAAATGAAGGCCCCAGACGTGTTGTTGTTTTCCTCTGTCACTCTCTGACACATTGTGCGCTGCATTTTCGAAGTAATTAGTGCTGATAAATCTCTTTGGTGGTGGCAACGAGCGACACAACATTACATTCAGAGAATTATATGAGGAGCCTCTATAACCTTAAAATTTTATTGAGCAAGTGACTCCCTGTAATTTGAAAGCTTAGCTGATACTGTTGATCCCACTGAAAATCAACAGTCAGCCTGCAGCTCAACCCTCAGCTCATATGTTAAGTTTGACAAAACAAATATTCAAACCAATTCACTCAAAACTATAGACTGTTCTCAGTCAGGCTTACACACACCGATCGTAGGGTATGGCCAAAGTAAAAGAAGAACATTTAGAAAGACATATATTGAGAGGTTTGTGTACCAAATTAAATCTAAAATATTAGTTGGTATTGTTCAGATGGCTAGAGGGACTCCAATACGTTTTGCTGTGTATCTGCTCTTGTGTGCGGGCAATTATTTGCTAACATGTTGGACAAAATGAGTGGATAAGCTGATATATCAAGTCAAGTCTTCTTGCTATGTTTCCTGCCTCCTAGTGGTAAAAGTTTACCTAACGCAGCTTTGAATGACAAGCCTTTGCAGTATTGTCTGAAGGGGCTTTTGAAGGTGTGTGTGTGTGCGTGTGTGTGCGTGCGTGCGTGTGTGTGTGTGTGCTTTCATGACAACAGTGGTGATATCACAACTGCAGTCCCTTTGGATTAAGCCTAACAACTGCAGATAATTTACAAATTCAGAAAGCACAAAAAAATATGTGTTATATACCTCCATTAATAGCTATTAAAAAGCTTTTAACTTTTAGTTACAGAATTACATTCACTGTCATGTTCCTTTCCAGTATAGTTACATAATGAAGCTGCTGCATTGACAGCTTAAAGCTTCAGAATAATCAGTTCTGAATAAGCAGCTCTCAGGAGCTGACGATCCCCTTTTTCTGTGGCATGGGATGTTTTGATGAAAAACTTTAACAAGCAATCCCTCAGTTGCTGCTTAGGTACAGGGAGTGTAAACAAGCTGTTTCCAGAGATACAGCTTCAGGTTGAGTCATGGGAGCAGGAAATTAAAGGCATGAAACAGCTCCAGAGGCTGCAGTCGCTGCACTGTTATGCAACAGCTCAGCACTCAAGGTCAAAGCAAGGTAACTCCACCAGTAGCAACAAAAACAAAGGGTGTGAAATCAAAGGAGAAGCGCGATTAGTCTTTCATTCATATAAATAATAACCATACATATGGTAGTAGAATACATTCTTCATGCTCATTTATGTGTTTTGGGTGGTTTGTGCAGTCAAATAGAAATGTGTATGATTGCTGCTAAGCTGACAGTGCACCAGCCTGTCAGAGCCGCATGCAGTGTTTGACTCACATAAATGACAGGAATCAGATTACACCAGGAGTAATTTGATTTGACATTTTGACATTACATAATAGGATTGACAGTACTCGTTTGACATTTGTTGCATGTGTGTATTTAAGGATGTTATTTGACAGTGTGAAAACAGCAATGGGAAATTTACTAATTTGTTTTATTTAATGTGATTTGACTAGTGAGGTCTATTGAAAAACACACAGCTGGGATTTAGTCCATGTTATGATGTTTGTTGTAAGCACAGAAATCATGTTGTTCTTTTGAGAGATTTCCGTGAAATCTGTTGGACATTCAACAAACTGATGGTGCACAAAGGAGGTACTGTAGACTGCACTGACTGTAATGTGACTTTAAGACACTATGTGAGAAATAAAATGGTATAAATATATTATTTGATTTTTGTGGCCACAGGGAGCAAAAGAATAAGCTGTAAACTTATCATTGACATATTGTCACATTATAGAGCTACATATAACTATGGCAAATGTGTTAACAAATAATTACATATATTTATTGTTATGGTGCAATATCATCATTAATTTGGAATCATGTTTCTTGCCACCTGATGGATACAAGTCATGTATTCACTCTCCTTTAAGCTCTGTTTTGGTCTCAACTATGCTCCACTGTTCACCAGCCAGTCACTAACTTTGTCAGTATGCCTGGGAAGGCTTTTAAAAAAATAAAAAAATAAAAATCAGCATACTGCTGCAGCTGGAAACACGACGGATGAGAGCTGTGACATTGAACCAAAACAGTAAAGTCATGGGCCGGAAAAACCAAAACATGTGATGCTGAAAAGCTCGGTAGAGATGGTAATTGTGGAGTCACATGACAATTCTCCGTGGGTTTGTCACTACAAGAAAAACTTTTGACATACCACTGTAAATATAAATGTATTCATTAATGCAGCTTTAACATCTGTTTTTTTGGTTTTACTCTTAATATTATTAATATTTAATATTTGGTACTTTACAAACTATATATAGCTATGTATATACTGTATATCTATATTTTCCACTACGAGGGCCCAGCATTCAGCTACGTCAGTGTGATCTTCACTGTGCGTCTACTGTGCAAATAAACCAACTTCAAGTTTATTGTCAAATATTGTAACCTTTAAAATTCTGCTACAAGTTTCTTTAACTGATAGAACTGATGACTTTGTAATTTAGCATCTTCTAATTTTGTGTGAAAGGCACATTAAATACTTTTATTTTTATATGGTTGTTTAGAGCTGTGGCTCTGTTCCAGTTTGATTTTTAATCTTAAAGGGAAGTTTTTAAACCTCTGTTTTCTTCTGGAGGCCTCATGCTTAAAAATGTGTCCAGCTGTTGTACACATCAGGAATTAAATGTAATCTGCGTAATGTTGCAGCGATGTACATGTATGTAGTATATCAGACAGTGTTGTGTGTGTTTGTGTGTCCAGCCAGTGTGCTGCAGGCCATGGCCGTGCTGGTCTGTGCCGAGATGTACCAGGTGAAACGTCTGCAGCACCTGTGTGAGGTCTGTGTGTGTGCTTACCTTCAGAGCATGCCCAGTAGAGAGCTGGCATCAACAGGTATCAGCGTGGTCCGACTACTCCGCAGAGCAAAGGTCAGTGCAACTTTGCATATGATTTGAGAACAGAAGCAGAACCGTCAGATAGTTTGTGTAAAACGGATTCCTACCTCAGTATGATATAACATCTCCTACAGCCAACTAAATGGAAATGATTTGAAAAGCATTAATTATTAAAAGAATAACAGTCTCTCCGTTTCAATCGATTCTCAGTGCCACAATGCAGAGCAGCTGTACGTCTGGCTCCTCCACTTCATCGCCAACAACTACCTGATCTTCAGTCACAAACCTGACTTCCTGGAGCTCTCAGGTCAGTGCAATATTTTTTCTTTAAAATCTGACGATTTTAAATAAGCCTTGTAAGTGATGATCAAGCAAATTAAAATGTAAAATTAAACAGCTCATTTCCAAATTTTTTGCGCAGTATCAGAATTCATTTTAAAAAGTCAGAGTGCCTCCAGGCTTTTTTAACACGGTATGTGTAGGTTGGGCTGCATCTGTCTCACTTAAATGAATGCCAGGCTTCTCATTTCTTTTTGTCAAATGGTACAAACACTACAAAATACATGAGGTGCAAGTTTGAGAATCAAACATGGCTACATACACCTGTGAAAACCTCTGTATTTTATGCTTTTCTGCCATACAGCACAATATGGCAGTATTTATGTTAGACTGTGAATAATGTCTCCTTATAGTATTTAAGTTTAATACTATAAGTTTATGCTTGAGTTACATAAAACACTTCTGTTTGCCTCTCAGTTATTATAGTCTTTTGCATTTAACAGACCACATAAAAGCAGATAAAGACAGGCTAATTACAAAGATTAATAGCATCATGGCTCTGGTTAGTAGCAGTAGCAATTTTTATTGTCATTATTAGTCATACACATAAGACTTATTTAAGGTCAATGGACGGGTACTGAAGGGCACAAGCAAAGTCAAAGGCCAGTATAAGGGGACAGCACATGATCGATCACCGTTGGTCTTTCGTTGCTTGTCGGTGTAAACAAAATCTTACCACATATTTCATCCTCGTTGGCAGCATTCATGGCAACAATCCAAGAAGTTATTACTGTATGTGTTATCTGTGAGTATGCACCAAGTATAGTAAATCTTGCTGTAATGGTTTTATCAGGAAAACATCCCATAGCTGTGTTTGCGGTAGGTTATAGTTGTGTCTTTGTGTTTATGTGTGTTCCAGAGGATGAGCGTGAGCAGGTGGAGCGGCTACGATGGCCATCCAGAGGCTACCTGCAGGAGCTTAGCGAGTACCAGCAGCGGCGACGCAAACTACGCAAGTCCCGCTGCATAGTCATGTGACCCCACCTGGAAGCCACAAGCCTGTGGAAAACAGGGGAGAGAGGGGAGGGGAATCAAATGAGAAAATAATGACAAAGAGTGAGGCTGTGCATCATCAACAGTGGAAAGAGAGGAAACAGTTTTTTTTTCTGTTTGTGCTGTTGGATGAAGGACTGACTCTGGAGGATACCACTGCAGAGGAGAACAGTATAAGACTCCTCAACCACTGGGACAGCGCTGTATGTACAGTATGTCAGGCAGTGACATACACCACTGCGACACTCCTCTCTTCCCCTGAAGGAATGTGTGCGTGTCCTCTGCATAAAGACTATTCCATCACGGGCAACACAAAATGACTGATCCTTTAAACCCAATATGAATTTAAAATGACTGTCTGGCCACTGGCCAGAGGCTCTGTAAAAGATTATATTTCTATTGGCTGAGGCTGATGGATTTTGAAGATCAACATTAACACAAAATGGCTCCATTACAAGTACAGATATATCAAATGACCACACATCTGTTAGACAACAGACCAGGACCATGTGCGGCCTGGTTCACACTACAGTAACGGGTAATGTGACTTCAGGTTGAATAAGAAGGAGAAAACTGTGCTGGGAAGTGTTTTCTTCTCTACTCGACACCCGGGGATGTCTGTGTCTCTTATGTACGCTGGACATGGGACTGCTCCATCTTAAATTAAACTCATGATGACCCATGGTGACCCATGATGCATCTGTGTCCCGTTGGATCGGGAATTGTGGGGAAAAAAAAAAAAAAAAAAAAAAAAAAAGTGAACACGTCTACATGCAGCATTTCTTAAGCTGAAATAACTCTTGAGCCTTCAACTTCTCAGTGGCTCAATGAGCATTTCATCTGAGCGGTGACCTACATTAACACTGAGAGCAGAGTGGAAAGCAACTGGTAATGCTGCTGGTAGCACAGTCATGCTCCTTTTCATCTGTAATCTAACAGACCCTCAGTTTAGCATACGAGCAGGACCAATATAATTACAATTCTTCTATTAGATTCTTTCAGATCTCTAATGCAACATCAATGAGTGTCTCAGAGTCAGACTGATTTTATTACCATGTGAGGTGGAATACATTATGACTGTAGTCTGTGTCAAATGAGGCCATTTCACTTTTCATTGAGAAATTACTTGAAAATTAAATTCTGAAATTAAACTACACAAAGCCTGTATCAAAATCAAGTGCTCTATACATCAAATCCAGAACAATAATCAATGTATTTTTAAACTTCATTTAAAGCTGGACTTTTACATCATTTCCTTTGCAGGTTAATGTGAAATAATGTTGAAATTACTCCTTATACATGTGCAATAACAAATACTAAGGGTCTGTCTCTGTCACACAAAAAAAGCAAAGGCCTTTTGTAGCATTTACGTGTACAGACGGGATATAAAGATTTAGGAAAAACAATCATATCATGAACATAAGTTGGTACACTAAAACCACAATGCCTCTGGGTGGATACACAATATTTATTTTATCTTTTTTTTTGAAAGGTTGTTTTTAATCATAATGAGATTATGATTTATTGGTGCTGCAATTATTTTTGTAAACTATACTGTATATGGACATTTATGATTTTTTTTTTTTTTTTTTTTTTTTAACATTTGGAGCAAAGACAACTGGGCCATACTATTTTACAGTCCAATGTTTCACTGGTATTTACTTTAAAAGGATTAAGAAATTATTGATTTGACAAAACTGGGGGACAGAAGCCAGAACAACTTGTCCGACAATCCCTCAGCAAAATGAAAGCAAATAAGATCAAAGGTGACATTTGTGGCTATTTTTGATACAGTGGATCAATGTAATTCATTAATGATCAACAAACTGCATGTAGCTGTGTTTGTATCCAGTTCTTGCAGTGCTGTAGCAGCAGGCTGTGTATATAGTACAGACCACAATCACTGTCAAGTTGTTATCTAACCAGTTGGTGTGTGTTTAACTATAATGACGACAAACAACATTTACAGTGTGTGTCTAGTTCGAAAAAAACAAACAATAAATAAACGCCAATCTACTCTTACAAACGGAAGATGACTCATTAAATAGCAGCTGAAACACTGGACTGTGAATCAAAGTGTGCGCCAGTACGGCATCCACAGGAGACACGCGTGGCTCCACGGGGCCTGTGCTGTACAGACTGTAGATAACATGGCGTCTGACTTTAAATAAAGACATGTTTTAGAATGAACGTATCACAGACTCAGTGAATGTCTGTACTCTGTTGTGTTTGTATGTTGTCGTACAGTCACAGTCAGGTGTGCAGGTGTCTGCGTGCATTTTGACTGCAATTAAAATCAACCTGTTTGACCGTAAGATGGCTGACAGCCACCTTAAGCTTCCACAACTGGCATTGGCTCTCTAGGTCTCCTAACACCATTCTTCCAAAAGATATTATTCCCCTCATTAGATGGCTTGATGGTGGTGGTGGAGAATGCAGTCTAAGTCCAGGATCGGACCTCACAACATGTTTGTCTTTCACACTGTGTCAGATCAGAGTCGTCAATCCTTACTGTGACTTGGTCAACAGACATGACAGACTACAAGTTGGACCCCGAGCAGTCATGGCTTGTCGTCCTTAAGGTGCCGGGGACCGATTGTACTGTTCCATCTGACAACACCAACAATGAATGTTTATGTATGTAGTCACGGTTATATTAATCAAAGAGAACCTTGTTATGTTTGCAGGGGGTGAAGTCACACCCACGACTCACCCTGTGCAGAAGCATCTGCTCTCCTTATGTTTCTCCGCCCTTTTATTCGGGCGTTTCCTTAATTTGTCAACCATCTGTACATTTCCATCAGGATGTGATGCAGTGTGGGCCCAGAGCAGATTTTACTCCTGCCTCTACCACAGAACAATTAATTGTTATCTCTTTGAGCACCACCTTGGGCATCTTATTCCCTTTCGTTTATTTATTCCTACTCTAATGAGAGCTTTCTGTTACTAAATCATGCACTTAATGACTTGCCCTGGGTCTTCTGAGGGGGAACACCTACCTCCTTTTCTTGCCTCCTATTATAAATGCTACACATTTCGTATTCTCTTCACAGCCAGACCCTCTGTCTTTCATATTATATGAGTGTGTGTATATATGGAGGTAAAAGAAGAGTCTGTGCAGTGTCCTGTACCTGGAGGTGTGGACCAGGTTACTGCAGGGCTCCAATGGACTGCAGCATGTCCTTTAGTTTACCACTCTTATCCAGTGCCGCCACATCACTGCCGCCTCCAATGCACTCCTCACCGATGAACACCCGTGGGACCTACATTTCAAATCAGTACAAGAAAAATAGGGATGCAGAAGGTTAACATGCAGTTACTGATTATAAATGTCATACATAGGGTTAGACAATATGATGAGACAATGTACATTTGTCTACCAGTCCATCTTGTCCATACCATTGTAACTATCCCTTAAACATCTCTGGGTGTATCAGACCAGTATGGACAACGCTGCAAATTAGTAAGCACAACTCATGGCAGTTAAAAGGCTTTTCATATGATTTTTGCACAAATGAGATGATGTGTATTTGTCAGGGAGCTAATTCACAGGTCTATTCCATCTACCTCAATAGAGGATTTCATCCATATCAGCCACCCCTTCTCATGAGCTTTGGTTGAAATCCTCATTTATGGATTTCAAAAGCAACTGTAGTCCAAGCAAATAAATAAAAACCAGCAAATTAATCAGAAATTTTACAGCTTCAAACTTTGTAATCATAGCTAATATGGCTATCACTGCAAAGCTGTTTCATTTTAACGTGGCAAAAGGTTCATTTTTGGCCTGTTGATGTCACTGCACTGAGGTTGAAATAGACTCTTTCTTTCTAGAGGAAGCTGATTACACACATGTAAACTCCTCTCCTCAAAATGAGACTCCTCCGTTGTTTACTAAAGCCCGACCGAGCGGCTGTTTACCGTGCGGGCTCCGGTAAGTTCCATGAAGTAGTCCTGCATGCTGTCCATGTCGCTGCGTCCACTTATATCAATACACTCCAGATGTCCGGGTTTGAACTTATATTTGGCCAAAACGTCTTTGGCCATAATGCAGTACGAGCACGTGGGCTTAACGAACAGCACCACTTTGTCTCCTTTGATCTTCGCCTGCACAAACTCCTGCGCCATTTTCAGTCGGTCGGTAAAGTGCTGCGGGAATAGGACGGAAAAGTGGCATCAACAGGAGAGAAGAAAGATGTTCGCTCTGCCCCTTTGTCAATTATGTTTGAGGATGACGTAGGTCAGGGCCTTTCCTTCTTAAAGGGATACTACATACTATTGCGCGTGCACCAAAGCGCATGGGTTTTTTCAGTATTTAATACTTAAAGTGAGGAAGTAATGCCTCTAATGTTCAGAATACAGGACATGGCAGTTTTAACCTGTAAACGAGCCCCGTGGAAAAACGTGCTGTTGGACCCACAGTCTTCTAATTATCAAATGACCAAAACCAGTTGACATGCAGTGAAGCTGTAAGTCTTTGGGCCCCCATTGGTCTGGTGCCACGAGGCAGGCGTCTGCTTTGTCCAGTTAGTAATCCAGCACTGATAAAAAAAAAAAGAAAGAAAAATGATCAGGTTCTTGATCAGACATTCGACATCCTACAAGGAATCCCTTTCCTGCAATTTGTGAATAATAAGCATTCCACTACCTGTGTGTTTCCATTATTTTTGTTGCTTTTTGGGATAGTATCTCATAAGTTCCCCCTGACGAGGCCGAAACCATCTCAAGCAAGTTGCTTTGACGGGAAGATTGTGGTGGAGCAGTTAAGGGAGCAGATCTCCTGGTTGATGAAGAGGAGTGTACAGGTAGATGAACTAGCCCCAGATGTCCTGGCTGGTGGAGCCAGCATGGAGGGTGACTGCCTCCTTCCTGATTTGTACCAACTCCGTAGGTTTAGAAGCACAAGAATCGAGGTCAACGCAAGATCAGTGGTTTAGAAGAGGTGGCGCCTATATACATATAGGCGCCTATATACGCCTATATCAGTCATATCATACAATGAGCTGTAAGCTTGTTTACTGCAAACATATGCCTACCGTTTTATGTATGGGGTCAGAGAATTGGTGGTATTCAACAAAATGGACCAGCGATCCAAAATAATGTAATGAGTGCAAAAAGTTAGGGTAAAGTTGATTTTCAGTGGGATCGGTACTACTAGCAATTGTTCACATGAAACAAAAAAATATGGAGCTTTAATTATTAAATTGTGCATGTTTTTCAAATTATTCTTAATATACTAATCTGTCGTAGAGTAACTGGCACATTTATTATAACTAAGACTTCCACACAAACCTCCTCAACAATCGTCTTCAGCCGCAGTTCCAACATCATTTCACTTCTCACTGCTACAGAGGGCATCGAAGAAAAGCAGCAGCACGATCACATTTATAGATAAGGTTTGAAAGTCTGTTACACCTTCCAGTCCCCAATTTAAACCAGTCTCACCAGTTTTACTCAGCCACAAAGGTAAACTACAGAGAACCTGGAGGTATATTCCACATGCAGGTGTCTGGTTACCTTTGCCTTGTGGATCTGGGGTCATATGAATCGTTTATTTTTATATCCACATGTGGCTTTTAGGAATCAGATTGTGTACATTTGGGATAACTGTTTCAAGGTATTTAAACAGCTGGAACCAAGAAAAACTAGCAAACATTTACAAACACAATTCTACAACTAATCTACAGTTCACCAGTGAATCAATGGACATGTGAAATAGTCCGCAACATGGTCGGCCCAGCAGTTAGACAGACCAATGACTGAGCCAAACCTGCTTCGATTTGAAAATTTAATACTATTTCTAAATGTAACATGAAACTGCCAATAATCAGCTTGTCAGCAGACTGGAAATTCTGCTGGACTGGACATATGAATGTTTTGAAGCACACTGTATATTAGATGCCACTTCTTGAATTGGCTAAATCACCTTAATTATGTTGTAGACTGATGACAGGTGGATGCTTCTGCTCTGTTTCATTGTTTTAACTTGTTTCCATTTAAACTGCAGTTTTATAAACATTTCCCATCAGTGTGTCAGTACTCTAAGCCTTAGCATAACTAAGTAGAACGAAGGAAGACACTTCCCCAAAGTGCTCATTAGAACAATGCCCACATTATGATTAATCTTGATCTTAAGCTTAATCCAACATACTTATTTTTTTTCAGATGCAATTACTCCACTTCTTACTGATAACATCTGTTCATAACAATGCCACCAAAAACACAATAAAAAAAACAAAAAAGAAACACACACACAATAACACAGATATTAACAACCTTGCCAAATGACTGGAAGGGAAACTGTAAAGGACACAGAAGAGATGACAAACATTTTCCAGGTAAAACTTGTGATTTTTTTTATTGAAATGTCTCGTACATTTTCAGCTGGGAAGGATCAGATTTCACTCAAATTTACTTGATTTTCAGTGGTTTCTCATATCTAAACAGTGCCGGGGTATTTTTTTTTACTTTGTCACTTGATCATTAAGACTCTTAGCAACCCTCCTCTCCCATTCATTCCACTATAATGACCTACTTGAGGGTAATTCATGTTGTTCAGACCCAACAGAAATCTCTGGAAGGCTGAGAGGAGGTCACAGGTGACGGACAACACTTGGCCTCCGAAGTAAATTTGTCAGAGTGACCCTTTGTGACTCTAAATTCTGGGAAATTGACCATCGCACAGGAAAACAGAACACACAAACCAAAACACTGAACGTGTAGCTCACAGCTATGGTAAGTGTAAATCTTGAGGAGAGCCTAAACTCTTGTGGACATTTTTTTTTATCCACTGTTGTGACACCTCCAAGATACAAGTGCTGATTTACTGTCCAAAATAACTTGAGTGAGTTTGTAATTAGGGTAAATTGATTTTGACAGCCGACCAAAACAGCCAGTCTACTGCAGAGACTGACTATTTGACAGAATGCCACCACCAATATCTATGTGAAATAGACCTGGTAAATATGAACTTAAATCTCTATTTTGGGGAAAAAGTTGTCCACACTAGCTGAATATATTATACTAGACTGCTGAGAAGGGGTTCACCACCACAAAAGTGTAATCAACACCATTGTTGACATTTCTCAGGGGCACAGTGACTAAGTTCCCCTTCACATCCCCAAACATAAGGGTGTTTACTTTTTTCAGCGAATGAAACACGTATTCCAGTATTAATGTCTCCTAAAATTAAGCCCCAATCAGAAATTTTACTCCATGGATGCTGTCCCAGAAAAAGTCTTTAATTTTTGTAAAACATACTAACACAGGTTTGTAAACAAAATTTTCCCTTGTTGAAATAAAGATTTTATATAGAAGCCATTCATCCATCCATCAAACTAAATCGGTATCAATGTTGAGAGAAAAAAAAAAAAGTTACTCTGAAACCTTTCACTGCTCTGCAGAACTCAAACTGAGAATTAAATACATTTAACACTGTAATACAGATTAGTCCTCTGGTGGATGACGAGTTTTTGCTTCTTTCTAAAACAGAAACACAGACTGTTTGCCGCAGGATAAAGCTGAAGAGGTGGCCGCAGTCCTTTCCAGGGTTAAGAGATGAACCATTCTGGAAAACAAGGATCATCTACATCTCTTCAATTAAGATCAGGTACTGTTACTCCAGCCAGGTTGATCCTGAGTGCTCTGGCTGGTCCAACACTATAGCAGCTTTTTTTTGTTGTTTTTCATATTTCTCACTTTTTTTCCCCACGTTTTTTTTTTCCTTTCACCTGTCACTCCACATAATGCACAACCATACAAACACATACACTCATACAATTTGTAACACTCCTTCCAGACTTAACAACCCCTCCTTCCTCAACCGCTCAGACATGCGCGCGCACACACACTCACTCTCTCACACAGACACACACACAGACACATACAGACACACATACGCAACCTGTTTCCAGGCAGTTGTAGTTCCTTTGTGTATAGCCTGTGGCCTCTAAGGGTCGGCCCAACTCGACATATCCGAGTGTAAACACCTTAAGGCACCCATAATGCACCGTGAACATTAAACACTGTTGGTGCAGGGAATACTGCCCCCCCACTGATGGGGGATCATACTCCATTAATTCACCCCACCCTCACCACCCCTCGTGGTCATTACAACTAAATTTACAATCCATGCACACATACTGTTGTTGCTTCTCAGTCAGCTCAAGTGATTTCTACTTCCTGTCTCATTTCCTTCCTCCTCAGCCTCAAACTCAGCAATGACAGCAATTTCTTGAAGCAGTGTTATCCAGTACAGTTTCATGGGAAGAGAGAGGAAGTGAGCCAGGAGAGACATCATTGCCAAATGAGATGACATAATGGATCTTGCGTGCAAAATGGCTTCACAAAGTCAAAACACATAAGGCCGCTGTAATTTTTTTTGCATTGTTTTCAAGAAAAGTTAAACAATATATCATCTGCCGACTCCTCTTTTGTACTATGAGTCCCAAAATAAATAGATCTCCCTCTTTTTTTTTTTTTTTTTACTTAAATACATGTTAATATTTTCTCTGATGCTCAAAAATACTTTTTTTGTTCTTTTTTTGCCTCAAGATAAATCCTTCAAAAGTTAGAAGAGTTGAAGTTTTTCCCCAAACCCCATCACACATGCAGGCAGCTCCGACCACTGGTACAGTGGCATGAAATTCCACAGGAGCTCATTGAGAAAGCGAAAGATGGGGGTAAAAGTCAAAGTGAGATTTTCAAGATTGCAGGCAACAATGAAGCCTGTGGAATCAAAGACTGGAAAAAGGAGGAAGGAATGAAGAAGGATGAAGGGAGAGGGAAAAGGGAAGGAAAAGGAAAGGAAAGGGGAGAGGGGCTGTTGTGGAGGCAGTAACTTAAGGGGTGTTAATAAATAAGAGCCAGTTGGACACCCCCTACTGGTTTGACACTCCGTTCTCAATACTGATTAGTGAAGATGTGTGCTGTGCTCTCAGCACCAGGCCTGGGCTCTGCGCTGGTCAAAATCAGCTATTAGCCGCTTGATGTGGGCCAACTTGTTGTGCAGGTACTCGCAGCGCTGTTTCTCCTCATGGTAGTTGGGGCTGTGCTGTAAAACAAACATGGACAAAATATGAGACTGCAGCTTTTACCCCAGACAGCAGCTCCTGCTGTGGTTGACAAAAACAAAATCTAACCGCAAACAGACAGAAGTCTAACTACTTACTTGTTTCATCTTTTTGTACTCTTTCAAGACTTCTTCTTGCACCTTCTGTGAAATTTTAAATAAAAATTGAGTTAAATAGTTCTGCATGTTTAGTACAAATGTGCATCATTTATAAACATTACAAATTATAAATAACACTACTCTGCATTTACTAATTTTCAAACAGGAAAAGGTGTTGATCCACTTATATTCAACTTGCACAGAAACCAAAACACTAAAGCTCTGTGTTGTAACTTGGCACAATAGCAGCAGCCTGAACAGAAGCACAGAATCTCTGATGACATTTAACACTTAACAACTGTGTGCTGCCTGGTGGCTGCAGATCTCACTGGATCGAGGAACAGATGTTGAGTGGTAGCAGCACTAATAATTTTTGTTTATTATAAAAAAGAATGTCCTTCAGTTCCTGCTCCTGTGTGGCACCACAATGTGACACCAGTGCACTAACAGGCAATTCTGAATAGTCTTCAGCCAAGCGCTTCAGGACATTCTATACAAGTCAATTACAACACTGGTCAAAGTATGAAAAGTAAAAAAAGAAGTCAAATACTACATGTCTACACTATGTATCATTATCATCTACAATCTTATTTGAGGGCTCATGACAATCTGTCGTCTTATGATGACAAAGCCACCACAAATGTTTGATTAAGATCATACAGTCTAGTGAATTAAGGTGTTTCAATATGACCTGGTACTCTTTGGTGCCAGGTGCCAGCTTCCGGCACTGGGTATCCAGCTGGGTAAAGCGGCGGGTGATGCTCTCTACACGGGCGTGCAGCAGGCGGTACTCATCATACTCTGCATTAAAGTCATCCTTGTAGCTTTGTCGCTGGTCCAAGGACACCAACGGCATGTACTTCCTGTAAACACAGAAAAGGAGATTAGACCCCATAAAAAAAACATGTTCCACAGTTAGAATTCAGAAATCTCTGTTCAGTCAATAGGCAGAAATCAGCACTCCAAAAGGAGCAAACCTTTCCCCAATGATATTTAGACAAAGTTGGGAACTTTCCCTGCACTTATTATCAATGACGTGGAGAGTACAAAACAGTCCAATACAGTGATGACAGAAGAATACCAGAGTGCACAAATGTAACATTTCTGTGATTGCTGCACTTCCTGTGTCCTAATTCTCAAATCTGTGCTTGTTCTTAACATCCTGTTCAATGAAAATCAAACATTTCAAAATTTGTGTTTTCATAATGTGATGCAGAGAAGAAATGGAAAATCTGAATAGTTAAGTAGGCCAGAATTACTCACACTACATAGTCAGGCATCTCAATTGTGGAGGAGAATTCAGTGGACTGGACCGGCTTCTCTTTGTCTGAAGAGTCTGAGAAGAAAGAGCCACGTGTTAGAACGTAAACACCGCACTATAATCCATAATACACAGTATCAATACTTATAATTATTATACAGATTATCAACACTCTGTCACTCACTGGACAACCGTATTTAGCTGCATAATTAACAGTCAAAATGGACAATGTATTATTTATAGTAGCTTATCTATCCGGTTTTGCCTGTGGGTGTAAATATGCAGGTTCATTTTCTTCCAAAGAATTTCTGGTATATTAGACATTGCACCACAGGTGTAGTCAAATCCATCAGGAGCAGACAGACGGTATGATCTTCAAAAAGGGCAGCATGAAAAAGAGGACGCCCACGACGCAGTTCTCAGGAAAAAAAAGGGGACAGACTACAAAAACAGACTGAGAGGAAGCAGAGCATCTCAAACTACAACCACAACATTTATAATGTCAGCTCAACCAAATATAAACACTGCAGAGTAAAGAAGAACTCAGATCAATGCCTCAACATGTTCAGGCAAAGACTGTGCAGACAAACACTGAAACATGGTGAGCAACAATCCAAAGTCTGAAAGATAAACTGACTGGAAAGTCAGTCACAACACATGCAAGTGCTGCTTGAATTATATCCTTTTTACTGGAAAATTATTGCGTATAAGTGGGTATTGTAAATGCAGGGGAATAGGTGCTGCAGTTCTCTCCCGGCAGAAGGTGTAGCTGTGGTGTTTCTGGTTCAACCACACCATGCTGGGCAGGTGACAGGTCTGTTTACAGTGTTTGTGCTCTGAAGACATCACAGCATGGTAAAGGGATGAAAAGTAGCGCGTTCGCTTGCGCGTCATGTTTATATCACTGCCGGTCGGAGCCGGAGCCAATAAGCACCCATGACTACTCATGACTCATTTGACCTGGGAGCGAATGCTGATTGCACCCTTTCAAATTGACGACAAAAGTCCTACGTCACCACGTTTTCTGACCAGTGTAAAACAGGCTGTAGTTAGTCTAGTTTCTCTCTCTCTGAGTTGTTAAAGTTGGATATCAGCTGGTTTACATGTATTTTGCTGGTGCAAAGGAGGAGGTAAATCAACATCAGCCTTTTATAGTGTCCAAGTATCCTCGTCATTTAAAATCCTGATTTGATTTTTCCACAAAATTGCAGGTGAAGGCAGCACTCTCACAAGGTTTTTCTTAACAACATTAAAGTTCCTTAATCAATTTATGGCCAGCAGGGAGCAGAACTCTTTAAAACATTACATTAACTCATTTGGCAGATGCTTTCCTCCAAAGTGACTTGTGAGGGACATCACTAAGCTTCAGTGTAGAAGGAGACCTTGGGTTAGGTAATAAGTACTACGTCTATTCAGTAAGTGCAAGGAAATCAGTTAAATAAGTCCACAGGAAGTGCATAGTAACTGCTACTTAGGCATGTTAGGGTGTTAGGAGAGGACACTCTCTCAGAGGAGATAAGTCTTCAAGAGATTCTTGAAGATGGAGAGGGACGCCCCTGCTCTTATAGGATTGGGTAGCTTGTTCCACCGTCAGGGAACCGCAGATGAGAACAGTCAGGACTGAGATTGTCTTGTATGCAGGGATGGCAATGCCAGACAACATTCCATGGAGTAACGCATAATTGAGTTCAAGCAGATGGATGCAGAATTCACTCTGAAGGCAAAACTTAGTGACTTGTATTTGATTCAAGTGGCCATGGGTAGCCAGTGTAGGCCAATGAGTAGCAAAGTGACATGTGCCCTTTTAGGCTGATCGAAGATCAGATGGGCTGCTGCATTCTGGACCATCTATAAAGGTTTCACTGTGCGTGATGGGAGGCCCGCCAGAAGAGCATTGCAGTAGCCCAGGTGAAAGATAACCACGACTTGGACCAAAACTTGGCGGCATACAGAGTCAGGCCTGATTTCTCTTATCTTGTTTAGTTCAAAGCGGAACGACCGGCAGACAGATGCAATGTGGTCAGAGAAAACAGAATGACAGAACGTTAATTATCAAGCTGACAGAGAAATACAGTCAACCCACAGACCTTTCACAGCAGACATTCGGATTCGTTATAGTAGGAAAACCACAGGTGTTGCTTAAAACAAACAGCAGCTTTGTTTTAATCAAGTGTCCCAATAAGACATGACAGTGAGCCAGCATGAACAATACCAGGACCATGAAATAGAAGCAGCTAAATGGAATTCAGTAATTATTCATGTCATTATGTACACCTCCAACACACAAATCTAACACCTTCTTTTTTTGTGTGGTTTTGTCCAAACCAATTCCCACAAAAACATCTAGATTTCGAAAAAGCTGGTATGATCATTAAGTCTTGAGATGTAAGGTTTAATGATGCAGATGATTAACAAGACAGAAACACACCTTGATCTTTGTGAGGATTTTTGTTGATAACTTCTCTCTTCTCTTCCTCAGCACTGCGCCTCTTTTTGGCTTTACGACTCTCCTCAGCCCGCTCTGCCACACTGGGAGGACTGCTGCTGCTTTTTTCGGTCCGTTTCCCTTTCTCCTTCTCTCGATCCTTGTCTTTGTGCTTCTTGGATTTCTTTTTGACCTTCTTGTTGGTACTGCTGGACAAAGGAGGGCTGGTGATGACAGTGGAGGTAACTGTGAGTGAGGTGCGAGGAGGAGGAGGAGGAGGAGGGGGAGGAGGAGGGGGAGGGCTGGGGGAGGAGGCTGGTCTGGGAATTGGGACTGGGTGCCGAAAGCGGTCCTGCAGGGTCCTATCTGAGGAGAAGGGACTGGGTGAAGGGTCTCTGCAGGAGGAACTCTGGTCAATGGGCAGGTCCTGAGTGCCGCAGCCCTCCGGGGTGCTGGGTGAGTTGGAGTTGGAGGCCGGGCTGGGCTGCTGGTGAGAGGGTGCAGGAGGGTGGGAAGAAATGGGGAGATGGGTGGGAGGGCCCGAGGTGACGTTGGAGGGTAGGGACGAGCGTTTAGAGCTGGGACTGCCCTCGTCCTCATGGCGGTCAGAGGAGGAGGAGGAGGATGAAGATGCGGCTGGCCCTCGATTGCTGAGGTGTGAGATGCGGGCTTTCTTAGGCGCCAATGGATCTATGAAGTCAAAGTCTGGCTGGCGCTTCTGTAGAAAACACCAAGAATTGAGGTGAAAATTGCATACTTGACTGTGGGTGTGTGTTTTAGAGTGTACTTGTTCATATACCTGGGGCGATGTGGGCACACTGTCTTTGGGAGAAGTGTTTGATGAGAGTGTCTCAGCAGGAAGACCTAATTTGCTGTTAAAGAAAGGAAAGAATGGTGTCAGTGGGGAGCTGCAATAGACAAAAGAAAGGGCACATTAGGGGCCAGCGCTCAGCTATCATTACAATAGGACCTGCTGAGGAAGTCATACTTTTATTAAAGCAATTGTGAGCAATTCCAGAGTGTCCTTATTTTAAACTCACTGTTCATGTAGGACACAGAAGTTATTATTTTCAGTCATATACACCTTCCTTCTAGCGGCCCGCAGCAGCAGCTTGATGTGTGCAGACAAAGGCAAAAAAGACTGCAAGCTAGCAAATGTGTATGTGCATAATGTATGATTTAAAATGCTGAAAATCCGCTTTGCGAATGTGTTATGAGGAAAGAAATGCCTTCAACACATTTGAGACTTACCACACAAGAAATTGTGTGAAAACTGCATCAAACTGTATAGTTTCTAGTTAATATTTGGGAAAAAGATATTATTTTAGTGTAAAAACTAGAATTACTGCCTTGCGGGCGTATGCCTCTATCATCATATTTCCTGCAACTTGGCTGGTTGGCAATCTCCCCTTCTGTTCCTGAGTTACAGTGTTGAATAATGGCCAGAAAAGTGTTTTTGCAGAACATTATCTTGTCACAGTGAAGTTGACCTTTGACCGTTTGGATATAAAATGTCATCACTTCATCATTTTAACCTATTAGACATTTGTGTCAAATTATGTCATAATTCTTGAGTTATGGTCAAAAATGTGCTTTGTGAGGTGACAGTGACCCTTGGCCATGAAATTCTAATCTATTAATAAAGTGAATTCATTCAAGTGAATGTTTGATACACAAGTTCATGTACTGGAATCAGTATCAGGAAAGAAAAAATGGTATCAGAACATCTCTAATATGGTCACCTTTATCCAAGTTTTTTTACAATTAGAGATGCCCCGACTGATCGGCCGCTGATCATGATCGGCCGACTTTCATTCAAAATACATGATCGGTAGATCGGAATTAATAGTTCTAGTCACAGATCACCTTAAAACTGGTCACCTGTGGTTAATACTCTGGTCTCTGGCTGAGAAAAGCACTGTGTGCTGTGTAGTCTAGTCCCGCCTCCCACCTTGTTCACTGCGTTTGCGCGCGACAGGCCACCAAAACAAAACATGTCGGCCGTGTAACTTTTATAAAAAGTGTGTGAGACTCACTCATAGATGATCGGTATCGGTGGCAAAAAAACCATGACCCTGACATCCCTAGTTACAATGTGCTTTGGTGGTAACAGATTTTCAATGCAGAAGAAAAATAATGAACAAAGCCTCCTCCTCTTAAAATCCCTCCTGCAGTATAAACCTTTTCCACTGTCCTTCCATTAGCTGGCACTCTATACAGCAATACAGTCCAAATCCAAATTGGTCTATTCTCAAGAGTTATAAGGTAGGGTTGTGAGAAAAAAAACAAAAAATCATCATCTTCAACCCTTAGGGGGCAGAATATCACTTTAAACTTGTGCAAATATTTAATAGTACTATATAGCAAACAATTAAAATGCTTTATTAGTTGAACTAAATAAGGCTGTATGAGTGTCATTAAAATGCTTAATTGGTGGTTTCTGTACCGAGTAAGGATCCGGTCAACCTGGGTCCTCTCATCTTCAGTGTAGCCAGGCCAGTCTCGCTGGACATCACGGTAAATAAAGTCCTTCAGTGAGTATGTGTTGTCTTTGGGGTTCAGGTTTGCTACCTGTCTCACACACACACACACACACACACACACACACACACACACACACACACACACACACACACACACACACACAAGTTAAACTATGACAGCATGTCAAACATAAAACATGAATAGCAACTTCATATTCTCTGTGGTGGCCAAACATCTGTGCATGCAAATCATGTTTAACGTGACTTTTCAAAGTGAATGAAGCGTTTATACTGTGAACTGGATTTCGGTTTTTGGGCAGTTGTGTGTACCTCGATCTTGAAGAACGCAGGTACACGTGTCAAAAGCCCAAATATCAGCTTTTGCGAAAACTAAGCTTGTTACTGCTGGATTTTTTGGTATAAGAGAGAATATGTAAATGCGAATCACTGGGACACTTCCCCTCTAAGTTACTGTGTCAATATACTACGTTGTTCAAAAAAAGCCACAAACACGACACAAGGTGCCTTACAGTACCTGTTGCAAGGTACTCCCCAGTGAGTTCCGGTCTTTCTGGTTGATACCGTCCCGCTGCAAACGGGCAAGCACTTCCAGCTTCTTGTAGGACCTCAGGGCCAGCAGGTGGATGATGCGGTCCCGGAACGGCCGCTGGGACACAGGGTTATTGGAAAGGCACTTACGAATAGTGTTGGCTGGGTTGATGGGTGTGGAGCGCTTGCGCTCTGGGACCACCTCTGGGGTTGATAGTGCAAGCTTACGGATTTGGACTTGCTTTCCTAGAGACAAAGGGTAAAGAAAATGTTAAACACCTCTTCTCTGCAGGGCAGTTAACCATCACAAACTGTTCTGCCATTTTGACAGATCATGGCAGGAATTTGCACAATAACGCTCCTGTGTCTTCAATTCACTTATTGAAATTGGTCTCATGTGCAGCTACAAACATAGAACTTAGAGTAGTTTGAAGAACTGATTTTAAAGTGTTTTGGTGACCAGAATGCAAGATGCCTCTGTTCTGTGTTGCTGAGCCATGTGCTGAGTCAGGATTCCTGCACATTTCTCTATACTGCTTCACGGCCATTATGAAATTCCAAAGCTCTTTAAGAGATTAAGGTTAAAGAGAGGAAGAGAAAGGAAAAACTCCCCCCTCCCTTCTCGGCAAAAAGCAGGACTAGGAGCAATGTGAGGTGGTGTAGGCTCACACAGTTTGTGTTGTTTAAAAGAGTAATAACAGATTGCAGCAGGTAAAAAGTTTAAGTACTTAGGTTTTGTCCTTCAGAAAGAGTCTGTACTAGAGAACATATAGAGCACAAGAGTATAGTAACTTAGAATATTAAATGCCAAGGCATTCCAAATGACAACGGTTATGCAGCTTTTATTAAAAGATACAGGCTACAGACAATGATAAAAACACAAGTTGTGCACCTGTGTTAGCCTGTGAAACAAGAAACTAAAGGCCCCTTTTGCATTAGTAAATATGGTGCTCACTCCAAACCAGCTGCCACAAGCTCCTGTCCCACCCCTTTTCTCGGCTGCTCCTCTCGTTTCCCAGTTTCTAACTGGGCCAGTGTATGCAAATATATCCCCAGAGCCCACAAAACATGCCTGAGGAGGTTTTAACTCACACTGAAAATTTTGTGAACTGAACTAGACTTTTGATTCTGGTTTGACCAAGGAAGTCTTTGACAAGGGCTTAGATCTAACAAACTAGTTCTGACTATAAAGATCTTTGAGTTGGCTTTGCATAATGCATAAAAAACAACTATAACAAGCGAATACTGTACATAACCAACTGATATTATTGACTGGTTGAGTGATTTTGCATGATATTCCGGGGGGAAACAAACACTAAACAGAATGCTTAAATGATACATTTACCATTGATAATAAATATATTGGCAATCTCAGTGATCACCTGTCTCCTGTTTCCAGAGTTGAGAGTGTTTTCTTTCTGCTTTAGTACATATCCAAATATTGTTAAATTTCAGTTTCATGTCTTGTATTTTCTCACTCACATTTCTCTCATTAATTGGCTTTTTGAGAATGTTGGCTTCATAACTGTCCTTTAAACATTAATATTGACTGTAATTTAAAAGTTGACATCAAAAGAATTTTACATTTCCAGCCATAATATTCACACTGAAGAAAAACAGTGCCTGCTTGCATATGCCGATAAACCCCACTGTGACAGTCCCCGACCAGCTGAAAGATACAACATCAAGAGCAGTGAATTTTTGAGGCCATATGAAATAAATGTTATTTGATTAGGATTCTTTCTTCAGTTGTAGACTCTTAGAAATTGTAGTTAGAATAAAGGGTTAGGGTTGGTTTTGTAATTTGTCCATTAAGTGAAGATTGTTAACTAAAATGAGATTTAATCCAGGTTTAAGCACAACTGCCCTATTTAATTCACCGACCAAAATAAATAAAGGACCTGTATGCCACAGTCGGACTGGCTAAAAACAACAACGAATATGTGTGTATTTGCAAAGAGAGAAGGGACGTGAGGTCCGATCACAAGTGGTCGCTCGAGATGCATGGGGAGACGCATTTTAACGCCAGGTGTGAATTGATTTACTTGGAGCTGTCCACTTCTGATTGGATCACGCGAGACAGGACCTGAACAGGGCCTTTGGCAGCCAAACCATTTCCATATCAGAGACTAAGTGACACTACTCGTTCTTTGTGGTTTCCTTCACTGGCATACATTTTTTCACCTTTACTTTATTTGGTCTCCACCATATTATCTTGGTCTGAAACTAAAAAAAGCTCAGTGACACAGTCATTCTGAGAGCAGGTATATAACTCAGCAACATACTGGCTTGTCTTTCCTGTCTGGCAGTTATGACATCTGAAGTCTTGAGCCTGAATTTGTTTTGTAATTGGGAGTTTGAACAAACTTCTGCTAAGACTAAAAAACACATGCTGAAAATAAGGGAGGAAGGAAGGAAAGGGAAAGAAAACATATGGCACGAGGTATTACATCCAGGGGTCGGTTCAACCGAATATTTGCTGTCATTGACTGAACTATGACGGAAAAATCTTAAAGCCGTCAGTCACTTTGACAGATTAGAACTCTGAGGCCAATCTACCGTAACGTTAAGTAATCCACACCAACTGTGTCAATAACCACATGTAGACCACCTGTTGTAGACTGTCTTGAAGTGGCACTGGTAATTTCAGTCTCCAATGTGGCAGCAGAGCATGGATTCAGCCTTTAGAAGAAAAGTAAAAACAGCCATGTCTGTCTGGGGCAAAGAAACAAAACCTAATAACCTATGCAGCAATCTCCCAATGTGTTTAATTACGCTCAAGTGAGCACCCAGCCTAGGTCCATGTGGATAAGGAGGACAGTCTGAGTTTAGGCTAGGCTACAGCAGGTCAACTGAGTTCAATTAATTTTAATTGTAAATGGTTTGTTCATATTTTTAACTATAATTGTCTAATTCTGTAAAACTGCATTTTTCATATTTACCTGTTTAGGCACAATAGCTGCAGTGTTTTAGTGCCATTCGCTGATACTGCAGGAAATAAATTAATTCACTCTGCTTTGTGTGGTGTTGACATGAAAACTGACTGACTGCATGGTCGGTATCTCTGTTCATCTCTCTGTGCTCTTATAAATGCATAATCAGTAAGTTTGGTCGGTATATTAAATTTTATTGTCATTGAGCAGTTTTTAAAAATTAAATAGGCAATGTTTCATTATGATTAAAACATGAAAATTAAAATGACGGGTAATAATAATTTATGACATAATTTTTGTTGAAAAACAAGAAAGTCTGATTACATCAGCAGTTTGTTTCATTGCACATCCCTTGCCCTACCTGCACTGAGTTGGATCAAACATATGAGTGAGGCTGGAGAGATTGATAAACCAAATTAGATTTGATTACTTTTTGCGTGTTGCTTGTTGACTCACGCACTGAGTGGCGCAGTGAACTAGAAACTGGTTTCAGCCCTTTATGTATAATTTCAGCTGGTTATATGTCAATAAAGCAGAAAAAGCTTCCTCTTCCACCTTAGGCCCTTATCAGTTAAACTCATAATCTGGAAAAGACTGAGACGGCATAATGGTTCAGTCATTCCCAATAATGGCTTTGAATGGAGTCAGGCTGTCAGCTTTCACCTATTCAGTCCCTAAAAAGGGGCCAAGTTTGAAAAGAGAGGATAGGTGCTGATAGAATGTAAATCCATGCTGCTGTGCTGGAATACAACCTGGCATCTGTTTGTGGCAGTTACAGATAAGGGAGACCTCACTGAGGGCCTTACCTCTGTACTGGCCCCCAGGTTTGATCACTTTGGTCCCACGTTCACGTGTGTCCTCCACGGCCTGGGTCATGCGTTCCCGGGTCACCTGGTAGGAGTCATTAGTGGCACACACTGTGACCTTGTCCTGTACCGTTGCCAACAATGCCAGATGTGAGGCCCCTGAGCTGTGGACAAAAAGGGAGTATGAGAAAGAAATGTCAGGCAGAGAGGGATTATGTTCTAGCAACGTGTGGTAAGACAGTAACAGTTGATTCAGCTGACCAGTGATTACCATTACCTCGACACATACTGCTGGATGCACTCAAAGCTTCCCTGAGGGTTGTCCTTGCCCACATTAGACAGGTAGAAATCAAAATTGTTGAAGGTGTCTGACGAGGAATTGGTCTTGGGAATTTTAATACGCTGTAAATTCACATAAAAATGGAGAATAACATAATTTACAGTATCTATTCACACATGGGTGTATGAGAACATTAACTGTGGAGAGCTGAATAATACACATTTATTTAAGACTATAAAACTGCCATATGCTAAATTCAAACCATAATCAAGTCTTACCTGGGGTTTCTCCATACAGTTCACTGTGTGTTTGGCACAGACTGTATAGAGGCAGTGTCTACATCTAAACTATGCAGATTGATGTGAACAACATGGAAGCTAGCATGAGACAGGAAGGTCTCTTGAGGTCTTAGCAGCTAAGAGGAGGCTGTATGTGAGTCACGTGAATCATGGACTACAAGCAGTTAGGGCTGGACAATGAATCAATATATTATCAAAATGGCAATCTGGTCAGGTGGCAGGTGCAATATCCAAATCACAGGAGCTGAAATTTTTTTGATGAAGGTAAAATGTATTGCTAAATTGTAAATCATATCACAATTGCAATAACTGTCAATTGCTAATAATTGCAGTATGATTTTCTTTGCATATCATTCAGGTCTTCACGCAGTGCAAAACAGTGTAGAGCTGAACTACATGCAAAAAAAAAAAAAAAAATCATCATCAAATCATATTGCGATAGGAGTCATGATTTTAATGAGAATATTTGAATTCCATTTTTCCTGAAAAACATAAAAATGATGATGTGATTTTTGCTGGGCTCTTTACAAAACATGCCTGTTCCCTTACAGCTGGAGAATATCATGAAGTAAATGGTCATATTGTGATTTTGATAATATTTCGATTAATTGTTCACCCCTAGTTCATACACTTCAGATGAGGTCCGAAATTGGTTTATGCCTCTCTGAACAGTTCAGCTGCTAATTTGCATAGAGGACACAGCTTATATGACAAATTCTGAATTAATTACCACATCAAAACTAAAAATCAAAATCTACTACATGTGCATTATGCACATCCTGTTCCAAAAAAAAAAAAAAAAAGAAAGGTCTTCTTTCTCTTTCGACTCATCTATACAAAGATTTTTTTTGAAACAATATAAAACTTGTTCCAATACAATGGAAGGTAAAATGTCTGAACACACAAAGATGCAAAAAATCTTGTTTTTATTAAACTGCATAGTATATAAATTGCTGAATAAATGCAAAAATTTTTTTTTAAACGTTTAACCTTCTGCATGGCTATTTCTTATCTCAATAAATGCAAAACAAAATCACTAAATGAACGAATTAATAAGTAAATAACTTTTCTCTAATTGATGCAAACACAAATCGTATGTGGGAAAAACAATACTTACCCCTTGGAGTCCCTTGAATTGTATTGTTGGCCGTGAAGAAGGTACATTCTGAAAGTGAAAGAAAACAGTTCAATCTTAACATTGCTGTAAATGTAAAGGATTGTTGGCAGAGCAATGCTAGTTGGGTAGGTAAGAAAGAACAGCTACAAAAAAAACAAATTAAAAAACAGTGTTGTAAAACCTGTACAACATGTTACACTACTTGACTGACACTTCAGAATTCACAACATTTGGTTGTAGAAACAGCAGAGCCTTAGGGTCCCATCACACCAACCATACGTCGTGACTAGTACTGACAAAGGCTGACTGAGCAAACACTGCCTCATATATTCTGTTAAAAGTTGCACTTCAACATAGTGTAAAGACTAAAGCCGACAGGTAGCTGATGGCTGACATGCACATACCTTCTGTGTCCGTGAGAAAGAAAATGACTAGGCAGTGATCTGGTCAAAAAAGTGTCTGTAAATAGCAAAACAGTAAATAGCAAAACATGCTTAATTAAAGCCCAAGGTGATGTCAAATATTGTTTTGTCTGACATCTAGTCTAGAAAATAAATAAGTAACCGATTATAAAAAATGGTGACATTAATTTTCTGTCGATCGATTAAGTGATTAATCAACAAATGATTTCAGCTATAGCCTCATGCACCTTCAACTAGTGGAGGCCAACCTATCATGCTCAATGGGACAAATGAAACAATGAGGGCCAACTAGTGCCAGACCAGTGGTGCTGCAGAAACCAGAGGTAACTGTCGGTCACAAATACTTGATGACGGTCCACTAACAGCCAACATTGGGCTCAGTGTCTCAGAGCCCTTAAGTTTATAATCTACAGAGAGACCATGTGAGTCAGCTTTACCTGCACCTTAGGTAGTGAGGTAGGTAAAATTGTTTGCTTTTATCTGGCCACAAGTGGTGGAATTTGGACAACAGTCAAACACAGCAGATATTTTGAAGAGAGTATTTGTGAAATGTCTTCATCTTGTGTAGATTTGCAGGTTTGTGGTCGGTGGCTACTTGAAATGCAGTTGACAGCCACAATTATGCAGTGGCTGCTCTGGCGCAGTATAGGTTAGGACAGGAAAGCACAGGACTCCCAGCGTCTTCACACAAATGAAGGCAACTGAAGAACCAGTTGGCTAGAGCTTAGACTTCAGAAACATTGCGTGAACTGGTTTGAATGGAATGTGCATCTTACTGACAGCGTCTCTACATTCCTGGACATTAAAACATGATTGCTAACTCATACATGAAACCACTATGCAGATAATTCAGAATAAAATATATACACTTTTAATCAGAAAGAACTATGTCATGGTTGTTAAAGCTAAGCTACTCCACTCGCAACTCCCTCCCCCACTATCCATACACACACTCACACAGACACCAACCAGTCCACACACACACACACACACACACACACACACACACACACCCACACACACACACACACACACACACACACTTCTGATCACATTTCACATCACCACAGAAAGACAAAGATAGCCAGCTACCATAGTTCGATGACTGGTTGAGCTACAACACACATTACTGAGAGGGAGAGAGAAACAAACAGCAGGCAGTTTTGGCTGCTCAGTCAGCAAGAGATGGCAGGCTGCCGTTCAATGCAGCGTACAGACCAACATTACCACATCCAATAAGGTTGTAGCATGGGCTGTCACAAAAGAATTCCTTCAACTTAGTGATGACTCGGATTCGAAGTGGTCAAATCTGACTATATAATCATTTGAAATTGTTCTTTATAGCCACATTTCAAACAATGATTTTTCTTAAGGCAATCGCTGTAATATATAAGGCTGACAGAGAGCAAAACTTTCACATACAGGGGTGTGACTAGTGTGTGGCATACATAGGGCACACACTAGGTGCCATAAAAAAAATCAGTTGCACAAACCTCTGATCATTACAGCCCCATGCTAAGCTACAGTGCATCAGCCCTGAGTGGAGATCTGGGCCCAGTCACTGTGTTATGTAACAGCGTTGTTGTTGGCAGAGTTAAGGTCAGGTAACTTGGCTTTAGGCCTCCTCAACTCAAGACTGCAGAGACCTCTCCAGATTAGTTCACCTGTGTAGCACCTCAACAAGATTACACCATTTGTACAGTTCAAGATTAACAAGTTATATTTAATCTACACAGGTATGCAGTGTCCTATTTGCACACTAAGTTTCAAAAGCTGCTTTATGACTGGTGGTGTCAAGCTCTGGGGTGAAATGCAGTACATCTGATGAAGTGGAGTACATACAATACAAATGACGTGGGTAGCAAGGACAATTGCCCTATTATCTTAAAAAAAAAAATAGACTTTGTTGCTACCAGATACTATATGTTTGTAACTGCTGGCCTCTTTTCATCATGCAAAACTCAGCTATGTGTCAAACAAGCCCAAATTGAATATTTGTCCGTTGCTCACAGAGTTAGCTTACATCCTGTGTAGCTAGTGTGGCAGCTCGTCTGACGGCAACATTTTCATAATGAAGTTAAAAAAAACCGAGCTATAAAGTGATAAGATGGACTATGGGCTTCATATGCCTGCCAGATTGTGATGTTAGGTTTTAGGACTAGCCCCAACTTTGAACCATATGGTAGGCTAGCCAGTCACCGACCACCTTAATTTAACGCCACCAACTAGTAATGAAGTTACATTATCTTTAATTTGTCCGTAACGTTGTATTTCCACCCTGCCCCTGACACAAATACAAGCTCGTCGAATTTAAATTCAGGTTACTTAACTTAGCATTTATGTTGAACCCCCAGCTTATGAGACTGTATGAATCAGGTGACTAGTGTATTCGTCGATATGAAATTACCACTTTCCTAATTTGGTCAAAGTAACGTTAGTTTGGCAAGAAAAAAAATGGACTTGGCTGGCCAGCACAGCACAGCACTGCACAGGGGACTAACGTAGAGCTAACGTTGGCTAATCAGAGCGTCTAACTTTACCTACAGGTTTTCTAGGTTAAATAACTATTGTCAGTTCGTAAAACCTGGCCAGAATATAAGGGGAAAGGCTCATTTATCTTCTTCAGCTCTTTAATTTAATGACACAAAACTGATATAATAGAAAAACCAAGGAGAAACTCGCTCTGTCAACGGCTTAGCTAACTTTGTAGCTTTAGCTGTGCGTGGCAGTTGGGCTTCCCAGCTGAGACGAGCCTTGTCAGCCCGACAGTACAGGCTAATTTTAACTGAAATAAACGCCGGTTTCACTCACCATACAATTTTGGTAGCTCTCTATTGCTCTCAGTGCTGTCTCGGTCAATTTGACGTGCAATACGGTGACTCTGTCTGCGCTCTGTTGGCCACAATTTAATCCGTACCTCCCATCCTCGGAGAGCGCCGCCATCTTTACCAGCCCTCCACCATCGTCCCTCTGAGGCTGGAGCATTTAGCAGCCCAGACTCCCTGTGCTCACTGTGAGCCGGGGAGGGACTATAGCTGGTGCCTACAGGGCTGACTGTAGTGGATTGGTCTTGACTTGTTAGCTTGTTAGTTTTTCACTTTCCAGCAACAGTCAACTGGCAGTATAGCATACAATGGTGTGCTTTAGAAGATATGACTGTGCTTTAGAGGTACACCGTGCAGGTTTACTTCTTGCTGTGTATTTACAGAACCAAAACTACTTAATGCCAAACTTGGTGTGTAAAGGTGTTGCTAAAGGGACAATTTCCAGTAACTAGTTTCTCTTTCTCCGTGAGCCAATAGGCTCTCTCTCAGACACATAGTTGCCTCTCTCTCTCAGACACATAGTTACCTCTTAGCAAAACTGCCACTGCCTGCTCTGTTTTGCTGACATGGTAGAACTAATTCTGGCCTACTGAAACTGTTAAAGGTAGCTTTTGTAGACTCTACTGCTGCTAAATCCAGCTTCATTCACATACAGGCACTGTAATAATTATCAGCACAACATAAATATGTATACCATAAAAGTATGGAATACTTTGTCTATACACTGAAAACTTTTTGCACATAGTCTTTCTGTTTCTCAAAAATAAAATGACTGACACACACTGTGAGTTAGTAGTGCTCAATAGTGAAATCAAGTAATATGCTTTTGATTTTGTACTTTAACAACTTTTACACCTACACACACACCTATATCAACTAAACTGTTGGCCTATAATCATCTTTTATGTGGTTCCTTTAATGATGTGGGATATAATGTGACATCAGCATAATGGGCACAAGCGTGTCCCCCTGTGAGCTGCACCTCCACTATCTCCCAGTGTCAGTCCCCTTGACCCGGTGATTAGGGCAGCATGTTTTGGTGTGGCGTAGCCTCGGGCAGGGTGGGGAAAGGCCTGTGTGAATCCAGCAGATTACCATAGCTCTTCACCCCACCCATGGCCCTGATGAGTTTCTGTTTCTTGCTCTTTTCCTCTCTCCCTACACACACACACACACATACACATACACGGATGTAATATGTTTGAGACTTCTTGTACATTAACCCATTGACTAGTTGTTCCTGTTTTTGTATTTCCCATTAATTAAATTATAGATTAAATCACATGTGTGGAATGTAAAATATGAAACAACATTCATTAACATAATTAATTGTATCTTTCATCTGCTCTCCAACACGGATACCAAATGGTGACTGGGTTGGTAACTTGACCTCAGAGCATTGGATTTTCCCGTATTGTATTGTCCCCTTGGTTTAAATACATTCACATTTTAAATACTAGGTCTGTTTGACTCCAGAGGTACACTGTTCTTGTCTGACAGGTTGCCTGCTGTGCAAACAATTAAATAAAGCCTTTGGGGTGGATAGGACTCATTGATTTTAGAGCGCCTGTGTTTACAGAAGCCCAGAAGGTGTCACCTGATGGAAGCTTAGGAGGACAGTGTGAGGAATGGGTTAAAATTACACATCCTTTGTTTGAGGCTAAACTTTAAACACAGGAAGACTATGGATAAGTCACATCTTGCTAATTGTGTCACCCAAAACACTGACAATTATTTTTTTCTAAATGAAGCTAAATTAATTGTTTCATTTTTCAACGTGGAGGAAACGTTACACACTCATTTCTCAGTCACTGATCTTTTCCTTAATTACTTTACAGTTCTACAGAACTGTCTACAGAAATACAGAGCTTACAGTTCTGTGTGATACCAGGGATGTCCTTCTACCTTACAAGCTGTTCTGACTGACTACAGAGGTTAATCATTAATAGGTAGATTATTTGGCCAGGCTCCAGTTTTGGTGCTAATCAGAGGCACATGTTTTAGTGGCTGAAGCCTGGAGCCTACAATCAGTAACCATGATAAAGACGCTCCCCTTCAAAGGGTTAGGGTAACATTTAAATGTGCTTCCCATGTGATTCTTTACCACATTGCTAATGAAGTAAACCTCAATAAGTATGTGTTACCCACACCCACTAAAATCTTTTCAGAGTCCAGTCTTTATCATCAGGATAAATATTCAAAGGTTTATAATGCATTAATGTGAATGAAAAGCAGCACTGATGAACACCAACTGTTTATCATTTTAATTCAATTCAATTCAATTGTGTGTGTGTGTGTGTGTGTGTTTAGGTTACTCACTGCCCCTTACATGTGACATGTTGATATATATTGGGCAGCAAGATCTACCGTGTCTTCTCTTATGCCATTTAGTTCATTGGAAATTGAGATTAGGGAACTGAATTGGTTAAAATAAACGTTCCTTATTTCAATGAATGATTTACATATCTTTGAGTCATCCTCTGTCAAACTTTGCTGTTCTGTGTCTGGGTTTATACTCAGATGTTTCTGTTGGGTCAAGAAGCAATGATTGCAGTTATTCTATGATGGTTAAATATCTTGTTGCAGCTTTGTTTAAACAATAAGTATGTTTTAAAACATTGTGTACAAGGTAGATACAGACTGAACATTGTCAATTCAAGTTCAAAGCTACATCATTCTGTGGCACCTGGGTTGAAAAGTTAAATGCCTATGGCCTCACACTGTATAACCTATCATTGAATGATTGGGATATTAATTAAACTTATTAAATTATCTCTGCAGCTAGATATGAGATATATGTAGCAGATAAGACACCAATAATTTGAATAGTCAGAGATATGAATCGATTCAGTGTTAAAGTTCACCCTATTGTGTGACATATTTACAATGCTGTAACATCGCTTCATTATTATGCATAGTTAAACACAGGAAAAGTCAAGGGGAATTGAATTATTAACACCTACCAGCGACTCAGTAATTGCACCATCATCAAAAAGTCTCCTGCAGTTTAACTTATCTGTAAGTAACCTGTAATTGACGATAATAAGCAGGTACTGCAGTGGCACAGCGGCTCATTAGCCAGCACTCTTGCCTCACAGCAATGTCCTGAGGATATTCTCCAGATGCTTCAGCTTCCCCCTTCAGAACAGATACATGCAGGACAAGTGAGCTTAAGACTCCAAATAGCCTCTTGGTTTAAATGTTAATGATTTTTGTTATATATGCTTTCTGTGGATACAGATAAAGGACAAAATGTAAAATGTAAAATTGATTATGTTTTTCTCTATATGAACATTGTTACCAGGTAGCCCCCATGTTCATCAACTTACAATGTATACAAAGAGAGATTTCCAGGGAAAACTGGACTCACCTTGACTTCCTCCTCTTGTTTGCGCAGTCACAAATGATAACAGTAGCATATTGTTGCATATTGTTGAAAATCCATCCTACTATCCAGCTGTGGGCTATCAGAGCAGCCCATTATCATTAACCTCAATGTTTCATTAGCATCACCCAAACTTAATAAATTACACATCTGTTAGGTCATTAAAGTTGCTTTGTTAATGTAGTTACCCATAAATTAGAGCAAATATTCATCATCTGCATATTTTTGTGGATTAGCTAACATTACTGCAGTTGAACACATCACACTGTCTGCATGACACTGGATGGTTGAGGGCTGTCAATATGTTAAATTTTGTGTTCAAATTAAACATACAAAATTTACACCAGATACCAGACACGCTCACATGAGCAAAAACTAAAACACACCAGAGGAAAAAGCACGTGTTTGGGGCACAGGCAAAAATGTACTCCACCTTCACAAGGGAGGTTTATATTTGTTATTTTTCAACACATGAGAATTTGAGTGTTGATAATTATAATTACACATTATGTGTAGGCTATACATGTTAAGGATTTCTATACTGCCTCTTCCTCTGCCTTAGGTTATGCTGCTGTTGCCACTCTGCTCCTTGACCACCAGCAAACCACATGACAAGGATTAAACCAATAATTCTTTAAACTGAAGATTAGAGTATGAAAAGTGGTACTCAGCATGGATCAGGCAGCCCATGTAAAAATCTTTTATATATACAATGAGTAACAGAGGTATTCTTGACAAATCTACAGCAGATGTTTAGGAACATCTGCAGATGGCAGCTGCATTGTGCTATATGCATATGCACATATGTCAAGGCAGGGTGTTTTAAGACAGAGTGTATTGACAGTCTATTCGGAAATTCAGTTCAAGTTTGATTAGAGTTTAATAAGCTGAATTGGCATGTGAATACTGGTAATGAGTCTATGGAAACACAAGTATGTGGCAGTGATCATTTTGATTTTAGCAAAAGAAAAAAAAAAGAAAAAAAGAAAAGAAAATTCGCCTCGTAGGATTATCTGAAGTTCACCTTCAACTTCACTCAACGTGGCGATCTGGCCCTGAGGACAGATTCTGTCTGGCAGTGAGAAAAAGCCATCTGCTGCTGCTTAACCCTCCCATTAAAACACAGCACACAAGGAAGAGAAAGCAGTGTGTAAATGTGGAAGCATGTTTGTGTGTGTGTGTGTGTGTGTGTGTGTGTGTGTGTGTGTGTGTGTGTGTGTGTGTGTGTGTGTGTATGTGTGTGTGTGTGTGTGGGAGAAAGAGGAAGGCAGACTCACTGACAACATAACAACCACCGACATCAGGACATTTGGCTTTACCTTTTACTCCAAATCATAAATGGGCAAAACAGCAGTTTTTAATGGATAATCACTTCAACGCATCCTGAACCAGTTTCGCCTGCAGTTTCAAATCTACATTAGCTTTTGCTGGAGCTCGAACACAGTAGCTTCTACACATGTAGGAAACAGCATCTTGTTTTATCCATTTTTCTCCCACCTGGTATTTAAAGACCTTGAAACAGCAGCCCTTCCAGTTAATGATTGGCCACTGCGGGGAAAGTGTGCACTTACACTGTTGACTCTTATCGCTGCTGACCACAAAGCCACTGGAGCAGTATCTCCTCAGCTGACATTAATGGAGAGGACAGTGCTTCGTTTAAAGAGACAGGTCAATTCTGTTTTTGTCTGCTGTGGAAGAGATAGCAGGCACGCAGAGGTGCTGCTCACACAAATGGATCTTTAATTGAGAGCAGGTTGTGCGGTTTGCTTTTGCGT